GGATGCTTTCCGATTCTCAATTCAAATGAGTTCATGCAATGAATACTGTGATCCATAATCTTCAGCGCGCAGCGGTGGTAGTAGGAGTGTTCGAATTACGTGTGAATGTACCGGGGCACTGTAATTTAATCATATCATTTCGTCGTCGTCAGGGTCGTAGAGATCAAGATCCAGAGTTGCCTTGGGCTTGGGTGCAGGCGCTGGTGCGGCCGTAGTTCCGCTGCTCGCCGCGCCTGCTTGAGCTGCAGCCTTGGCGGCCTCGTTCGCATGTCTTCTCTCCTCTCCCATAGGCTGTGGTGCAGGAACCACCGGCTCTGTAGACCCCAGACCCTCGGCCTCGCGTATCAATCGTTCCACCTCTTGATCGGGATCGAACCCCGGTCGACCTTCGGCAGCGGTCAGCTGTATCTGACCCATCAGACCCATTCGAATACGGTCTTCCATCGGATATGGGATCATGTAAACCTGGCGAGTCATCTTCGCTGACTCATCGAGCCAGGATGTCGCTTCCTTCGTGACGGATGAGACCGGTTCGGCGCCTTCCTCAGCACCAGGGCCGCCATTGACACCTGTCATCGCCATGTCCTGGTCACCAGGTTGTAGACTTCTCCCCCGTGCTTTGGCGGCCTGCGTGGCATTGGCAGCTGCATCCGCGGCAGCTTGGTGGTTATACTTGCTAATCCGTCGCGCAAAGTCCAGCAGCAATTTGTAATCAATTTCCTTTGTTTTCCGCAGGCCGCCTGGCTTGGTCTGCATTTGATCGCCGCCATAATCCAGATCATCATCGTCGGAAAGGTCCTCCGCATCCGAATCGCTCGGCTCGTCGTCGCCGCAGATCCTCCGAATCTCCTTCTCGTAACCCACAACGTCTCTCACAATGCCCTTGACCTTCTCCTCCAGACTCTCAGCCTCCGCGCGAAGTTGCAGAATTCTGGCGTAGTTCTCCTGGTGCCGGCGAAGCGTCTCAATGGCAGATGTGAGCGAGTCGTCCGCGTCGAGAAGTGCAAGGGCTGCTGCAGGAGCTCCTGAGGCGGTCGGCGAGGTTGTAAGGCTCGTTATGAGGGCATTGAGTTTATCTTCCAGATTCGAAAGAGTCTTTTGAAACTCGACGTTCATTCTGAGTGTATCCTAGGTCCCTTTCTGCACGTTATGTGAGTTGCCTGGGTTTCAGTTGGTCGCACGCGTCGCGGGAGGTATCGACTACGGCAATGCGGAGTTGAGAATGCCGTAAAATATCAGGCTAGAAGAAAGGAGTAATCGGGAGATTTATCTGCATTGACTGGTTGTCATGCGACTGGAGCTTGAATGGTGACTGATCCAAAGGAACGTTGAAGCACAGCCTAAACAAGTAACGAATTAATCACGTGATACTGCAGCTCCGCATCACGTGTCTATCATCTAACCATTCTCTCCTCGAGGTGCAGTTTCTCCAAACGGGTGAATATCTGAAAATGGCTATCTGGTAATGAGGGGACATGTCTTTCACAACTTGAATGCACATACTATCAGTCAATAGCCAGTGTTGGCCTATATTGATATCGGGGTCACATTGCGGAGACGCGGCGAAGCCGCAAAATAAATGCGGACGAAATCCGACTGAACGAGTCAGGCCATGTTTGTCCTCTAATATTCAACAGACAATCCTCCCAGACATTACTCGCTGATTTGTAACAATCATTTAAGATTCCGACTTATGTGTTGTTGGATAATCGCAGGAAGAGGGTCCATCACTCCCCAGAACACCTATAACTTATGCGCATTTCGACACAAGATACTGGATGAATTATTACATGTATATTGAGAGCATCTAGCCGCCAAATCACTACTTGCACGAAATGACTTCCAGCTCTACTTCGCTTCCCTCTGCTTCCCTGGACCCCCGCGTTGTTTTACAACCCCCGCTTTCCCGCTGTGGCCATGGCCCGGGACTGATACTTATCCGGCCGAGTCGTTTCGCAGAATGTCAGGAGAAGAACAAAAGTTTAGATCCAGAGCCATTGCAGAAATGGGCTGAGGAGAGCTACGCAATAGTCCAGATTAGTCTTGATGCGGAATCAAGTGGCGACAAGGATCGTGTACTTGACGCTGTCAAGACAGCGATCGAGGGCCTGGATTCACTCCCGGAGTGTGATAAGAAGGATCAATTTGGTTTGCTAGGTATGCACAGTATGTCTTAAGAGCCGTTTGGATACTAATGGGCTTAGTCTACGGTTCCGAAGCTGATTATGCGCCGGAATTTGCGAGGATTCTGGATGCAATCGTAGCTGCTCGTATAGCAGCGTTGGTATATTTCGGTCGTTGGGAGACGCTCGCTCAGATTCCGGCCTTGGTACATATACCTGGAGCTAGCAATGAAAGCCAAGAAACGGAAAGCCGAACTGTGTACACCTATCCTGACGTCTCGTCCGCCGGCTTCATTGTCCCCGGTCATGCGGATTTCAAGTACTCGACGGCAGGAGTAGCCCATACCCGGTCATTGAGCTTCTTGAAGAAACACTTAGACGGGCCTTACTTTAATCTCGAGAAAATCTGGGAGGAGCATACCTATTACGAATTTGGAGACAGATCGGTAGAGAAGACCATGGCGACAATGGTCCAGGAGCCATATGTGAATCATGTTCCGACTGTGAGAGGGCCCCATTCCTGCCGCTCTTGAAGAAACTGACGCTGGAAAGATGACCGGTGGAATTGGCCGTGTGCAACTGAGCAATTTCTACCTGAATCATTTCATCTTCAATAATCCCGATGACACAGCCCTGGAGCTTATCAGTCGCACGGTTGGTATCGATCGCGTAGTAGACGAGTTTATCTTCTCTCTCACGCATAACAAGGAGATTGACTGGCTGTGAGTTTCATTTGCATCTACTCTATGAGCGAAACCTAACGTCTTATAGTATCCCCGGCATCCCACCCACTGGAAAGCCTCTCCGCATACCATTCACATCAGTGGTGAATATCCGCGGGGATCGTCTATACCACGAGCACATAGCATGGGATCAGGCGACGGTTCTCGTGCAGCTGGGCCTAATGCCAGAATACCTCCCGTACCCTTATGCTTTGCCCGACGGCAGGCTCCCAGGCCCGGGGAAGAGATTCGAGTACCGAGTCCCTGCGGCCGGGGTGGAAACCGCGGAGAAGTTGGAGAACGAACACAAGATCCCCTCGAATCAGATGTTTGAGTATAAGATCCGAGAGGTTGATGATAATTAACACTATATGCGAGAGTATATTGAATTCAATTTTGTCGAGGTTAGCAAATGCGGCGTAAATTAGACAACTGCAGCGCGAGTGGCATGCCATATAGTTCGCTTCTTTTAATGGTGATCTCTAAGGCAGTAGGCAGCAATGACACTGCAAATGAATCAGAGTCAGGATTTGGTTAGATATGCAAACTCGGATTATTTGGTCATCTGCATTCACGCTGGGACATAACCTTGGTTGCGTATGGTTTGCTCAGCTCTATACCGAAGTCGCTCAAGAGAAAGCCTCCAGACGTCCCTGGGTTTTCTGCGGGTGGGGATCGCATTGCCACACAGCTTATCCCTTCTGATAGTGATTTCCTGTGGAGGAGTTCCCAGAGAGGGACGCGGGAAAATGTTCTGGAGAGGAGCTGTTAATTTGAGCATCTAAAGAAATGCTGCTTCTGGGGGAAATGCTTACAAAGCTCTCAGGTCCTTGCTGGTTTTTACGCCATATCTCGAGTCTACCTTCTACTCGCGATTGACTCATTATGGACCATTTTACAATGAAAACGATGTTAACGTGCGCGGCCCCTCCAATCAGCCAAACATTTTTCTGCATAAGGAGATATGGATATAACTGGGAAAACTCAATACAAACACAATCGTGGGCAGGAGAAAGCCACTCGGCTTCAAGTGGAGATTTGACTCCGTAAATGACATCTGATATGGGGCTGCAAATGTATTGAAGCCTACTCTGTACAGGACTCGATTAGATGTGCAAGAAGTAAAAAGGAGGTAACATACGAGTGTTTGAAGCCATGCTGATATCCTCATTTTCAGCGCAAGTCAAGTACCCTGACACCCCTGCCTGGATGAACTTATCGATAATCCAGGCTTGATGACAGCTGGGAGTAGCTGTGGGCATGTCGACTGTGAAGATCGGGTGACTGAATGGTAATTGATGAGGACTGACCTTGCCTCGATCTCCCCATCCGAGTCGAGACTGAATGCAGCACGACTCCCAATGCTGGGTCCTATGCCCTCATATTTCAGAAATACTGGTTCCCTTGCAGAGAATGTCATTCTTGACTCGGAAGATGAAACTTCGACGTCTGAAACGTGACTCTGCTGGCGCTTGTCCCAGGAATGGGAGTGATCAGGGGAAGGAGTTGACATTGTCGTAGATTGCAGAAGAGAAGTGAGCATTAGTAGCAGGGGCAATAATGAGTGTTAGCAAAAGGCAAGCAGTGAATGAGTGTCTAGTGATACTAGTAACTAGTTTAACAGTAGTGAATGAAAAAAGAAGATGTAATGATTGCAACTAGAATCAACCTGTGAAATTGACGCTGAAAATCATGGTAATAACCATCCCCACTGTAGCCACAAACACTGGCAACAAATTCAAACTCAAGATCATTTCTACAAGTTGGAAAGTCTGGCCATTCCTTCATCAATAGTATTTTACAATCACCATCATCTGCTCTCTCATCATTTTCCTTAGCGGCGTCGAAGATGCGCCAAAGCAGTGCCGAACAGCCCATCTGCGTCCCAGTGTCCCTACTAGTTGATGATTCAGTATCTCTACAGAGGAGAAATCGAATCATTGTCTAGTCAAGATATCGAGTCATCATATAGTAGGGATATCGAATCGTCAACTAATAGATGGTGGTTAAAATGTTGTTGATTAATTAACGCGTATTATCCGTGCAATTATATAGTTTTAGATAACTATAGTTCCTTGACCTATTATGCTATTTTACAAAAAAAGTGATAATGTTCTAGATTTATGATACATTATATACTAAAATATATCATAATTTAAATAGCCTTATACCATTTATTTTTGAATAACTGTTGAAAGGGTCTAGTAACATGGGATTTCATTATCTGACCATCGTCTGACAGTTATTCCAACCCACCAACCTCTCGCAAGGTAGCAGCAGGTGGCCACTCGCTCAAAACGGTAAGATTTCTCTCCCTGCAATAGTTCGCGCCAGTCTGATCAAGGATTCTGCTAGGGTCGAGACAGAACTTCTTGGAGAATCTCAGGTATAACCGTATATAGCTCTATAGCTTGTTGCATACCTTGGCGTACTTCTTGAAGTACCTAGGTATAACTTCTACCCACAAGTCATGTTTCCGAAGGTAATCATATGCCTTCTGGCACATTGGTTCTGTTAGCAGGGGTCCTAACTCCCCCACTCTAGACATGAGAACTGTTGTAAGGCTGCCCTTGAGGCATTGACCGAATGCTTCGAGTTTCTCTGGACTCTGGCAAAGGTGCGAACTGCCCAGTTTTTTGACACAGTCTTGCTTGGTTGCCTGCACAACAGCTTGTACCAGGTTCTCAATTGTCTTCCTCTGCTGCGGTACTCCTAATTTTTTCGTGGTCTCTGCAACGAGAGGTTTGATGACATTTTGGCGTGCCCATCTATCAATATGGGTTATATCCGGCTGACATCCTTCCTGGCAGACCTCCTTATAGAACAGCTTGTAGACTTCGGCAGGTCTGTCGCCAAGCGCGTCTGAAATTTTCATACAGGTTGGACCGATAAATGCATGGCTGAGACTTCCAAACAGAGCCACATAGATCAGTGTGAGAAGTGAGATTTGGAAGCGCATCTTGACGAAGGAGTTTAGAATTGGAACACGGTGGGTTTGAAGATTTAGAATGAGACTGGGCGAGCTGTGGTTATTTAAGACAATCCTCGATGGCAAAGCAGGAGAAAGCAAATGGAAGAAAAGCAAGGCAGAGTATTAGTTAGGATGTTATCAGCTGGCCCTATTGAGTCAGGGCTAATCTTAAAAAAATAGTTGCAGATCTTAAGAAAATAGTTGCAGATCTGATTGTTGGTAATGGTCTCTAATAATATTAATTGGGGACTTCCTTACAGCTGAATACACATTCAAAGACAAGCCTAAGGGACAGAGTACTGTCGATATTCAAGCAACATCTAGGACAAGGAAAAGCCAAATCTAACTAATTTGGCTAGTGAGCGACAGGTTATTGTCATACCAGCAGCCAATGGGGTTGCGTCTGAAGGTTGGAGGGTGATCTACATCTATGATTTTGGGTTAAGACTAGCTCTTCACATAGGAATGACCAAAAGCCCAACACTAACAAGATTACAGAGTAGATATTTGTCACATAATCTGGTGCAAGGACCAAGCCATCTCATCATAAATTTGATGGCTGGAGATTGTGTGGCTGAACAGAGTCAGATACTCATACCTCAAAAAATCAATACAATGAGATTATTGAATTATATGACCGCTTGCCCGATTTGGAAGTGATTTGATTCCACCGAGCCGTCCCTTGGCGATAATATTCGGCGGTATTCGCCCAATATTCGGCATATATTCGTTCATTAATAAGCCGAACCCCTGCCTCTAGTGGGAGGCATAAATAGTAGCTAGATAGTCATTCGTTTAGAAGAATCAGACCTTCATTGGTTTTCAATTGGCCATATAAATTACTAGTAGTTGGCGAATTGAACTAGTACTATTGATTTCAACAGAGATCTACCTACTATGCCCAGGAAGAGGCCCGTAGTCCTTGTTCAAGATGCTACTGTCAAAACCTCGAATAAGGCCAGCATCAATCTAGTACAAGTTCTCCAGCTGTGAATATTAGACTTGCCTGCCGGAAATGGCCTCTAGCACTGTCTGCTTTTGGCCCAACCCTGTTAATACACCATTCGAGAAAGGAGCCAAATTCCTGGTCAGGGTTGTCTGTGTAGTAGTTCCAATTACATATTGGATTCAGGTACGGCGAGTACAGAGGCAGATAAACTAACCCCCACATTGACGCACATCTCTGTAACCCGCTCAGACTAGTGGGACAATGTATTATCCATACCTAGAACAGACTTCAGCTCCAACCATCTTCCGCAATGTCAAAGAAGATGGTCAATGAAGTTCTTAAAAACGGACGCATCTGTTAGCCAAGAAAGATGTGAGAGAGCATAATACCATCCTGAGCATATGCAGGCAGCATGTGATACTTGTCTTAGTGCTACAGCAAGTGGTGGCCAGCCTGTTTATCAAAACCTAATCTGCTCATCACATCCAGATCTATCTGATGCCTCGGCGTCTCAGATGATCCAAATGAAATATCGCTCGCAAGAGACGGATCCCCACTGATCTTGGTAGACGCGTTCTTCAGTGCACATGAAACTTTTAGAATCCGAATTCTGATAGAAAGGGATGTTTCATGGAGATAGATAGAGAAATTCCCGTCATACAGTCTCCCTAACCAATGGAATTAGAGATCATCCATCAAACTTTCCAGATTCCTTCGCGAAAATGGTCATGCAAATAGCCCTCTATTTCGACGTCTGACGAGTAATGTTCATGAGCGCATCTCAATCACTTGCCCCAGGTATCTAATGCTCTACTTGAGGGACAATTCAAGGGCCGCAAAAAGTTCGACGGTTAGCCCATCGGCCTCACAAGAGCCCGTCTACTACCCTTAGCATGTCTATGAATTGCCTTTGACAGCTTGCGTAAATCTGCATCTTATGGATCACCTGGCTGCCTGCTCCGACAACTGGTTCATCAAAGATCTCGCACATCAGATAACCGAAAAGGAAAGATTGTAGTGTAGCTTTCCAGGGCAATTTGCCAAACGTCTAGGACGGGGCGGCCATAAGGTCAGCAGTTGACCAATGTTGAAGAAAAGACACTGCTGGAGAATAACGAGCAGCCTTAAAAAACAAAAAAAGGGGACTACGACGCCTTTTCAACTCCTTAAAAGAGCAGGCTGACGTCGCGGAGAGATGTGTTTCAGCCCAGGCATTGCGCCCTCCTTTCATCACCTTAGTCATTTGGAACACCTTCGATTCACTGTATTTTCCCGGCTTAACGATGATTATCAATGATGAGTAATGATTAGCGATATCATCGGAGTGGAGATTCCACTTTTATCAAACATTCCGGGGTATCCGCTTTCTTCCTACTAAGAGTAATGATATGTCCCACGTCTTAGGACAAAGCAGCGTCTATCATTGATTGTTCCGGGTACTCTAGACGATGAAAAGCATATAATTCAAGAAAAAGAATCTTTGTCATACATCTTCCGAATCTGCACTGTGAATAAGTGCGGAGATTTGTGGCGACTTTGATGGGCCCGCCTGAGCACCAAAGGTACAGAAACCGTGGAGCAATAGACTCAGAACATCATCCTCATCTTAAGCTTATCGTTCTCAATGATCTCATCTTTCTTTTTCATGAGCTCCTCCATATCCCATTGACAGCTTACGTACCTTCCCGCGAGCCACTCCCTGCGTTCAGCCGCCAACCATGCAATTGTATCCCCAGCTACGTCCGGCCGATCAGGCAATGCATTTCGTACAGTCTCAGGCGCATTCTCTGTAATCTTTGTTTTGATCGCACCAGGATTCACACAAAAAGCCACAAGTCCCTCACCACCGTATTCCAACTGGATCGACTCGGTCCACCTTAATATTGCAAGCTTCGAACAGCGATAACCCCCGTTCCTGGGACGAGCGGTTAATGCACCCGAAGAGGACACATTAATCATTATGCATAGCCCGTTGCTCTTGGTACGGGTAGAGAGCTGCATAGGAAGGAAAGTACGAGCCATATTAAACAGGCCGCGGACATTGACCTCCCAAGTCCGCCAGTACATATCCGGGTCTGAATCAAGCAGTGGCTTGTCCGGCTCCATATAGGCCGCGTTGTTGATGACAATATCTAGCCGTCCATCGAATTCCCGGAACACAGTCTCGTGCATCCCGCGTACACTGTCCAGATTTGCAATGTCGACCGCACAGCGTAGGACGATGGGCTCTGGGCGTCCGGCCTGCACTGCGGCCAACTTTAGCTTCGTGGCCACTTCGTTGGACACGCCGTGTAGGTCGGCTACTGCTATTGCAGATGCTCCGGCACGCGCGAAGGCCAGGGCTGTGGCATGTCCGATTCCGTCCTCCCATGCTGCGCCGGTGATCAGGACGTTTCTGCCGTGTAGGTCTAGTTGTATGGGCGAGATATAATCGTATGTCGTCGAGTGATGTGTGGCTGTAAAGAAGGCGCCTGAGAGGTCTCTTCCGGCCGACACTGTCATCTTGGATATTGTGTAGCACACGGAGACTAGATAGCCGGAGTGAGGGTTTCAAGACAGCGAAGGAATTCCTACCTTGAAATGACTCGAAGGAGTGGCATAGTGTCGACCATCAAACCACTCAGCTAAAAAGGTGTCTAGACTTCTATTTCCAGTGTAGTAGGAAAGATAGTGCATATTCTGTTAACACATAGATATGATAAAAGACTCTCGACTCCACCTTTCATATCTCTGGGCAAGTTTGCACCTGCAGATCATTTTGATTTCTCATCATCTCCGTCTTGGCTACTTCTAAACTCTCCGCGGTGATGACTGAGGGAGTAGATCGGGGTTCTACTATATATAAGTCCGCGAATGTTTACTCCTGCCGTAACTCATCGCGGATGGCTAATAACAAATAGAGGAAGCTCACTCTGTATAAAAGCCAGGCATCGCATTGATGGGATATATATTGTGTAACTGCAACATCTCTAGCTTACATTTCAAACACTCACATTCTCGCAATCCTCAAATTTCCTCAATTTTTACCAATCCCTCGAGCTGATACCGCCATGTCGTTCCCCAGCTGCCTCCTCACCCGCTCAACATGGCGGCTGGTCGGGCTTGGCCTCACCACGACTGTGTTCTCTCTGGGAGCCTTGGCCATCATCGCACCCTCTACGGCTGCCGATACTCTTGGGGTCGTCCCGACCACGGTAGAAGGCCACAGCATAGCCGAAAAAGCAATGGTGTTCCTTGGCATACGGGACTTGGCTGTTGCGACGGCGTTGTTTTGGTTCTACCGTGAAGGCAAGGAGAAGGAGATGGGAGTGCTACTGACGGCCTGGACTGGGGTCTGTCTAGTGGATACATGGGTTACGACCCAGGGCCCGAGAGGATGGGATAAGGGGGTTTGGGGACTAATTGGAGGGGCCATGGTTGTTGCATTTGGCGGGTTGGGGCTTTTGCAGTCATGATGGAGTTGACGGGGTTCACATGCTGGTGGACCACAATGAGGGTAGCAGGTACTGCCCAATGATAGTTAACTGGGCATGGAATCAGGGTGTTATGACTGCGGCCAGCCCCCCGTACCACTGTTTTCTCCACAATTCTGTCCGACAGTACTGCGGGGGGTACAAACAGTCCAGCAACAGAACCAAAGGATCACACTAAACCGGTTATCTTTGTCTGGGGTTTGGGACTCCGCCTCGCTCAACCCGATTTGATTTGTTCATTCCATTACAGGACCAACCGTATCATAGTAACAGGATTACTGTGCATATAAATCCAGCAGACCAAGTCTGAAAATAACTCTATGACCAATAACGTGACCTGAATGATGTGCTCGTAGCCGGTATACTCCGCTAGCTAGATACGAGGCCTGGAGTGCCGGATCATTTAAGACTAGTCGGGTGCATACATTCGAGATTTATTGTGCTTTGTTGCGTCGAGAGCCCCTTCACGCCAGACAACCTCCAGGCTATCCATCCCTTCGTTTCCGCATCATAGCCAAAATGCGTCTCGCTGCTGCTGCTGTTGTGCTCGGCGCCGGTGCCATCACCAGTGCCCAACTATCCAACATCCCACAATGCTCTGTAAGACTTGTCCGCTCAATGCCCCGGCTCCATATCTCGTTTCAAAACTAACCGCTGCTCTCCTCTCCTTCTTCCTCTTGAAGCTTAACTGTCTCACTTCGGCCCTTGGTGCGGACGGCTGCTCTGAGCTGACGGATTTCGCATGCCATTGCCAAAAGACGGGCCTTGTGGAACAGGTTGTGCCCTGCGTCAAACAAGCTTGTGATGTCGCGGACCAACAAGGTATGAGAAGTCACATTCCCCTCCGTATGATCCTCTCTAACCCATGCCCCTTAGCCGTTTCCAAAGTCGTCGTATCTTTGTGCTCTGGCGTTGGCCACCCGGTGTCTATCCCACCAGTGGACTCATCAACTCCCACATCGACTGCTGCAGCAAGAGTTCCGACCACATCAAGCAGCTCCAATTCTACCACGGTCAGTGGTTTGGGCGGAAGCTCTCGGACTTCGTTTGCGGCCTCCATGACTTCGACTATGGGTTCCACGACTTCGTCCACCGTCAGCACTGCTTCGCCTTCGAGCACCTCCCTATCCAACGGGGCCTCTGGTATTGGATCCGGAGTTGCTGAGGTGGCTGGTACTGCCATCCTGCTAGCCAGCGTCATGTTTCTGGTCTAAAGAATGGCGTGGAGAAGCTCGGAGGTTCTTTCCACTGTTGGCTGATATACTGAATTTGACGCTGGTAGCTTCTTGCTTCAAGCTACAATCATTAATAATATCTACTATTCTAGAATACCATATACAGTTATGACACTGTGGAAAACCTGACTGCAGGTGCATTTCTTCACTAATTGTCTGTCTCAATTAACCCTAGGGCCTAGAGCCTTCTCAAATTCGATTGTTATGATCCATGGAAAGAATAACAACGAACGGAGTCCTCAAAAGAGGAACGCCTTGACATGAAAGAAAGGCATTCTCATGGTCAAAATATTGGGCTGACTTGCTCACATGTGAATACACGAAGTCTCATTGAAATGGCGTCATGGCGGTTCGAAGCAAGGTACTCTCCGGCAACCCTGCCTATAATATGCACACCTCTAAAAACCGGGTATGCGGAAAACAGAATTCCCATCGAGAGGCATCGTATTTGTAACATTGGATGCACCGGCAAACTAACCAAAAATAGAAAAAGAACCTTAAACACATCCTTGGTTCTAGGCTTTTAGATTATTCTTCATGGCCATGTGTGAGGAAATTTTACATGGGATTGACTTCGTTCCGACTCTGTAAGGTACGAAACCCAAGACAGCAAGAACAACGGTGCCCAAACTAAGGGGGGAAATACTAGAGCGAAGAGACTTTGTCTAAATCCTCAGGTCTGGCAGTCAGTTCTCCTCGGACCTCGTCACTGCGCCCCTAGCTGGAGTCTCATTTCCCCAGTTGGAACTAATTTGCGCGAAAGTCCGCCCAATGCCTGATCTGACGATAGCAGATACGAGACCGCACACGATCCTCATCCCCACCTTCGTAGTGATGCATGATATTGCCCGCATTGAACAATTTCTGTCATGATTACCTCGTAAAAACCGGAGGCCAGGTGCGACTAAAGCAGCCATCGACCGGATATCTAATATCTAACCGAATCGAGATTGATAGCTAAGGGACATTCCCAGGTAGGAGTGAGGTTGAAAGTCTCCATTGACCAATTGAAGCATACGCCCAACGCGGGGAATTAGGGTTCTTAGCTTGAGGACTGGCCCCACCACGCAGTGACCCAGTCACTAAACATCTTGACTTTCGGGCACATGCTCGAAAGTTAATGGGGTATCTCCAGACTCACCTCGGTCGATCAATGTCTGGACAAAATGGTGGCAAAAACATGTGAAAGGACGCATAACGCTTGATAGCAAGGCCAACACCAACACTTTTCATGTCAAAAGGACTGATCCTGTGGGAGAGCACGCTACACAGCGCCGCGTAAGCCACCCCGCCCACTGACCAGGTTCTACGCCAACAAATAGATAGGAAGATAGGATGACAGGATGAGAAATGGAGACTGACAAGGGTTTTGGACCGCCACTGACTCTCAAAGGGATCCTTTTGTTCTTCTGTAATTTCCGTGTATCGATAGTGGACTGTTCGGTGCTGGATTAAATTCCCAATATTCAAGCATATCTACGTATTATACATCGTAACAAGATCGCATTCACCCTCAAGGTAATTGAAAAACGAGACATGCAAGCCACCAGAACTCCTAGTAAAGAATTAAATCAAGATCCTGCACACATACCCAGCTCTGCTAGGAGGTCTCTCGCGGTAACGTCGATACCGCCAGCGGCCGAGTCCTCCCTGCCAAATGCCAGGAACAGTGTGTCATCAATGTACCCATGATACTTCTGGCCGTGGCTTTTCCAGCTGATGCTGGTCATGTAGAGCATCTCGGAGTCTTCTGAGAACAATGGTGAAGAAGATACATCTGACTTTTTCGCAGCAGTATTGCGACCAAAAATCCAAATTGGTTTTGATGAGACCGCATAAATCTCATACGGCATAGAACGCCGAGTAAGCACGACATATGGCTCATACACGGGGTGCAGAACATGTAAGATCTTTCGTTGGACGATGAAAAGCACAAAGGTATTGGTCGTATCAGGTTGGCACGATTGGTCAGATCGTGCACATAGAGTGATAGCTAGCGAGTTTGTCGCTTGATGAATGCTCTCCGTTGGGCCCGTACTCTGAGGCAAGAATCTCTTGAGACACGCTTGGTCAGAAGTCGCCGTCGCCAGAGCCAAGTTGGGCCCAACGGAGCCATCGAGCTCGAGTTTCGCAAATACTCGCACCGGTGCAATATCATGGTGTATGAACATTTGTCCAGAGTCGTCCCAGAAAAGGAACCAATTCTTCTCAACAGCATTCCATGGCATTGGACGTTGGAGCTCGCGATACTGGCGGAACTCGTGCTCATGTATCGTGTCGATGCCCCAGTCCACCAAGATTCGAAAATCGGAGATCCATTGTCCAAAGCACGTAAAGAAAGAATTGGAGCCATAAATGGTGTACGGAATCTCGGGACCGTAGAATACCCTCGCATCATGCGGCCCAACGCTGAGACTAAAGTACGAAAGGTCGCCGACGCACTTGCTGGAGTCGCCAAACGTCGCTGGTATGGGCAATTGCAGTGGTGGTTCCAGACAGCGCAGAACTCGCTTATCTTCTGAGAACGCCGCATTGCAGACGACTTCAGCAAACCAGACTGATGCCATTCGAGCCGAAGGAGGTTTATGAAGTTGCGCAGTGATGATCCAGGTGTCAAGCAACTCAGGATGGGGTATGATACTGGGATTCATCACGGATCTACTCCCAAAATCGATCTTGAAGTACTTTCGATCGGCACTCGATACTGAGTATAATATATGGTGCATTCGAGACATTTCTTTTTCGGATTCAGGACGTCTTCCGTCCTCTGCGGATTGTCCATCCTGGCAGTGAGACCAGGCTTCGCTGCCGGGGACGCCTGAGCAACCTGTCTTGGATTCACCGGCATTAATGTGTGATTGCCCATATGGACCAACCGTGGAGTGATACGAGGACAAAAAACTCGTTTGCAAGTCGAGATGGTTGGATTGAAGTTTAGCGACGAGGATCACTGCGGACAATAGCCCTGCAGTAAGCATCAGGCGTGTGGCTGGTTTTTTGGCCATGTTCAGTCTGGCGTGTGTAGAGTAGAGCATTGGAATGTAACAGTAAGAGGTAATGAGCCATAATAGAAAACGGGCTGCTAAGGTTGGTTACTGATACATTGACTAAAAAGGCCCCGACGGACGCGGGTAGTGGCTGAATTGAGGGGTCCATCGATGGGGAGTGGCCACATCCGCAACTCTTAATTCTGTGTATGGTAATCGGCGTATCCTCAGAGCATCAAGTTAATTCCTCGCTAGATACAACTTCTGAGACTGGCAATACATTGACCGTGAGAATTGAGCTAGAGCTACGAAGAACACATGCCGAAATCAATGATCTGGCAAGCTTTCCACTATGGTCTCAGACACATGGCGTACGTACTTTCATAACAAGTCTTCATGATTGAGATGTATCCGGACTTAGGGACTCCAAGCATTGCTAGACTTTATCATACAACAATTTATAAGGCAGGGTAGGCTTTGCATGAGAGGCTCAAAAACAAATACGTAGATCATGAACACAAACGGAGATTTGTCAAGTTTTGTCGACCAGCGCCTCTTGATACATCCGTTGAGAGAGCCTTACAGCAGGCTCATCAACTAGTCTAGTCGTGACCTCTGCAAGCCAGAGGGTCAAGGGCAACAGAACCAGCTGTGGGATGAGAAAGTTGACCTCAAGCCCAAAAGGACCAAGGGTAGGCAGGGGCAAACGATTAATCCACCAGGGACAATTTTGGGCATGTGAATCGTGCACGAATCCCACTGCAGCGTAGAGCCTGTCTCCCAAAATCCACAGAACCGGTCCGTGGACTAGATAGAAGGCAAATGAAATGCGGCCCAAGTACTGGTTGAACGGGGCTGCAAAAAATGCCTTGAGCCACTGAAGGTGAGATGTGCACGAGACAAGGAAGACAGCGGCCCAGAACAGGTAGAACCACTTGTAGTCGAACACTGCCTGTGGCTTGAGGAATGATAAGAGATACCACCCGGGTGAGTCACGTAGCTGTTGCAAGTTATCTGTATGCGATGGGACCCCGCCGAGGTAGAGGCTGGCATAGAAGAGTAAAGTCATAATGGCTGACTTGAAGGGCTCCAGTCTGTGAAAAAAGGCGGGCAAGTCATTGCGCATGGCGAGGAGATCGAGATCTCTCAGAAGCATGCCAGCAATAAACATGGCAAAGTGCGCCCCATCCGCAATGTACAAAAAGTATACCACCAATGCGACTTCGCCGATCAGCCGGGCGTTGCGGCGAAACCTTGCAAAAGCGATCGCGGCGGTGTAAACAGCCAGAGAGCCTCGATATTCGACGGGTATAGACCAAGCATGGAAATTGTACGTGAACCAAGGCTCCCCGCCTGTTCGCAGAACGAAGCTGAAATTCTTGAATTCGGCGTACCAGTTCCATAGCTCCGAGAGGTAGCTTCCTTGAAGCTCTGGGATAGTGCGAATTTTAAAGAAATGCAAAAACGTCATGTAGCAAAATGTTGTGCAAATGACGGGTATATAGAGACGAAACCATCGGCGGAATACCGCAGAGGAAAGATTTTTACCTAGTTCAGCGTAGTCGCCATCCTGGATGCATCCCAGTGGCTTCATTGAGAGAACATACCCAGATAGCACGAAGAAGACGCTGACGGCAAAATGACCCCCGGCGAAGATTGTTCGAACACCAGGAAGGCATGCGAAATAGTACTTGTTGTCGTAACCGTAGGCTAGCTCGAAGGCCATTCCAGCTCCTGCGCCATCGTGGGCCCAAAGTTGATGATGTCCCCAGTAGACCACGAGAGCCGCAAACCCTCGCAATCCATCTAGGTATGCGGTCGGCCTGGTACGCTGTCGTTGCTTTTCATTCGTATTTGTATCGCTATTTGTCCGCCCAGTGAACAAAGTGGGCAGGAAAGGAGCCATCCATGGAAAAGACGACATTCCATGTCGAGCGTGTGTCCTCTGGGCTAACTGTGGTTTCCACTGTCCATCCTCGATGGCTCGTTCGGGACTCAAGTTCAAGTGAGGCGAGAAGCCCTCGATTGAGGTGGGTAGGATGGGCATCGGGGCCAAGAGTTGAAGTTGCCAGAGTCTTTTGAAAGGTCGAAGAAGACGATCAATAAAAACCCAAGTCTCACTGCTTGAGAACTATTACAGCTCCTGGTAACTCGATAACACGTGAATTGTGTGGGCAGGCCGTGCCAGTGCCACTACCCACTGGTGCCGAGGCTGCCGCAAGATTGCGTTTCGTAGAGATTATGCCAGGTCTCTGCGGAAAATCTTTCCTACCTCCACATGTCGGGGTCTGAACGCATACCCCCCGGGGAACATGACCAAGTGGCTGAAGCTGTGCAGGTACAATCTCGCCCCGCACTTCGACAGGGTTTGGGCTCGTATTTGAGTGGATTGCATAGGTACAGTGGCATGTCAAATGTTTGAATCCGATGTATTTACCGCTAGCTTGTTTAATGGATAGATTCCCAACAACTGGCAGTCATAATAGTCCCATGATGGATATTATGCTGATTTCTATATAGCTTATAATGATTCTAGCCAATGCTATAGAACCTCCACAGTGATTACTTTCAGTGAGGCGCGCCATGGTGATGTTGTTAATTTGGAGAGGATCTACAGTCGTATACTCCGTCCTTACAGACTTACAGGGAAGTTCCTAGTCAAGCTAGCGGTAATACCACTGGATTAAGCCTTTGACGCGTCATTGTATCATGCGGATAAGGTTTACAGAAGTCTGCAATGGCGTTTTTCACTAAATGCCATGATTGACTGCCCCACGCCACATCCCTCCGATTAGTCCGGCGGATTAACTAAAAGCGCCCAGATGCCGGCAAATGATCTAGTGGATCATGAACTTTACACATTCCTGTACCAGTGGCTACAACTGCGCTCGCGGGGTTACCAACAAGACAGCCCAGCAAATGAGACATAAGCTCTCAAAGGTGTCAGGGACCAACGCAATCCGAGGCAATACATTCTAGATTTAGTGAAGACCACATGTGAAATAGACAGCTATGTACTGTATGTAATCTACACAGCGGTGAAATAAGGCTATGTTTTCCTAGACTTACAATCTTTTACCTTTTTCGACTTCCATGCTTTCCCCAGATGAGAGGCCAGTCATGGTGGAGAAGAAATTCGTACCGATCAGTCTCTTTCCAAAGAGGGCACGTCGATTCACGCATAGCAGCCTGGTGGCATTATTCCTGTTGATCTACTTCTGTGTTACCAGGACATCACATCACATTGGCGAGACTCGATCATACTCTACCCAGGTGACGGCCGATGTTGGTGAAACATTTCCCCGGAAAATCTGGCAGATTTGGAAAGTGAGCCCATTGGAATTTGACGGCCGTGATATCGAGGTTGCCCGCAGCTGGACTGCGAAAAACCCGGGCTATCGGTACGAAGTTCTGACCGACCAGAATGACCTCGAATATGTCGAGACGAATTTCGGACCTCTTGGCGAGAATCGACCAGATATCGTTGAAACGTATCGATCTTTGACTGCGCCGATTATCAAGGCTGACCTGCTTCGGTACCTTGTGATGTACATAGAAGGAGGGGTCTATGCTGATATAGACGTGGAAGCATTGAGACCCGTGGAGCGGTTTATCCCAAGCACTCATAACGAAAGAGATATCGGCATGGTCATCGGCGTCGAAATTGATGAGCCAGAATTCAGCGACCATCCTATATTGGGTCAGAAATCGCAATCCTTCTGCCAATGGACCTTCATGTGCAAGCCCCGACAGCCCGTGATGATGCGACTAGTCGAGAATATCCTCCACTGGCTCAATGAGCTCTCCCTCAAGCAAGGAAAGCCAATCTCAGAGCTTCAGCTGGACTTTGACGATGTGATCACAGGCACCGGGCCTTCTGCCTTTACGGGTGCCATCCTATCTGAAATGAGCCGCATCACTGGCAAGACCGTGACATGGCATACGTTCCATGATATCCCCGAGTCCAAAGTTGTTGGAGGGTTTCTGGTCCTGACGGTTGAAGCGTTTGCCGCTGGACAAGGTCATTCCGACTCGGGAACCCATAATTCGCGCAACGCGTTGGTCAAGCATCATTACCATGCCTCGGAGTGGCCAAAACGTCACCCCCGATTCAATCACCCCATCTTTGGGGAGGTTGAGAAGTGCAATTGGAACGTGGACTGTGTGAGAAAGTGGGACGAAGAAACAACTGCTTTTGCTGCCCTGCCTCAGGAAGAGCAGGAGCGGCAGATTGCCACATTTCAGGCGATAGGGGAAGCGTTGAAGAGGATGGAACCGCCGCCGCAGCCCGCTTTTGGCGGTTTTTGATGCATTGGACATTCTCTTCAACTTTCTCTAGTCGTTCGTTCCTTTTTCTTCTTCTTCTTCTTCTTCTCTTAGAAATTTGATGATCTATTATAGATATAAGTTTAAGCCATCGTTGACGATTATTTAACCCTGTAGCTGGTTGTTCACGAAAGTCAAGGTTCCATGAAGGAGGTAGCCTGTGAGTTATAGATGGGGTTTCACTCCCATGAAAATGGAGGTCACATAGTCATTGCCATCCATGATGCTATGCTGTCTCTCAAGCTTTGGGGTTCGTTACGGAAGCATCAAGACTCTATGGCCACGCCATCGTCATTGCGATCGCCTTGTATAGTATTTTCCTCGCTAACTTCACACTCCTTAAACTTCCTGAAGCCCTCATGGGAGGCCTTAATAACCAGGACTTCACTGACCACTTATGGACATTGCCCTGTTGTGCAGAGAACACATGTTCTATATTATCCCCCGCATAATAATGAAGGCAATTTTGTTAATCTTGAAATTTTCATGTCCTGTATCTACGACATGTATATAGAACGGAATTTCCGGGCATCTGTTCAGTTTAATTGCACCATGGAGGAAATGTATAGTACACACGTGGGAATGCATACTAGTTTAGATTTGAGGATGGAGCTTGAAGCCCCCTGTGCAGCCTTTCTGAAACAGCCCGTCTGGGTCATACTTTCTGCTGACCTCCGTCAGGAAGCGTAGATTCTCCTCGCCGTATCCTTCCAACGGTCTCTGCCACTGCGCACAGTAGTTCAGGTAGCGGAATGGATGGTCTGTCCCATTGGCCGTGGCGAACGCGTCGATTTTCTCAATGGTTTCGCGTATAGAAGCGTAGACACGCTTGTCATCCCCCGCACTCCGCCAATACACGGAGAAACTGAGGATGAGGAGCGCATCATCCGTTCCCTCATGAATGCCGAGCACATTTGCGTCGCCTTTCGCTGCCCACGAGGGCAGGAACGGTTGCATGGCAATCGTCCAGATCAACCCCTTGACCTTCCGCAAGGAGGTAATGGCCTCCTCATGGGCGGCACGTGCAGCCAACATCGTGGGCAAATCGTTCTTGATGGTCGTAGTACCGAAGGACCATCTTTGGCCTGGTGGACAGGTGCCGCTCATCTCTATCACAGCGGACGTCACTGTGTGGACTTTAAGGTGCTCCAGAAGCGCCAGAGAGTTGCGAACCCCGAGTTCTTCCAGTAACCCGGCCATTTATTGGGCTCTTCCGGTGGCTTTGTGTAGGCCAGATGGACCGTGACTGTTTGCATGCCTAACCCCTGTATGTAGGTGAAACAGGCGATAGGCGCCGCGGCGTGTGTATCGACAGCCCCTCCGCGTATTCTGGGATCGGCGTGTTTTGCACTCTCATGTAAGGCCATGAGCGCCTTGGTGGACTGGGAATTGGGAGCGTACATGAACCCACTCCAGATTTGCGTGGACGGGAAGCAGCGCACTGTAAAGCGGGTGACGATGCCGAAATTGTTCGAGCCGCCTTTAAGGGCACGCCAAAGATCGGGGTGCGACAAGGCAGTGGCCGTAACAATCTTACCTGAGGCGAGAACGACTTCGTAGGCTAGGACATTCGAGCAGGCCAGACCGAAGCGTGGTGTGAAGAAGGATATACCGCCTATAGAGTTAGTCAGAGAATATGTTAAGACAGAAACAGTTATACTCACCCCCCAATGTATACCCAGCCACACCGACATCAGAGCTTCTGCCTCCTACAACGCCGAGACCCTTCTCATCCAGGATCCGCGATGCTTCAGCCCAACGAACCCCTGCTCCCAGGGTTACACTTTCTCTGTCATCAGAGATCGTCACTTCCCGAAACAGAGAGAGGTCGATCAACACGCCTCCTTTGGCGCTTGCACCGCCTGGTACAGGAGATTGGCCACCGCCCCGGACAGCGAACAAAACACCATCAGATTCTTTCCTCGGCAGCGTCCTCCGCTCGTCATATTCCCGTTTAAGGATGTCGATGGCCTTGGCCAACTCACCAACATCACGTGGCTGGACGATGCAGGCTTGCACGACCTCGCGCTCCTGTTGGGCCCAGTAGGTGTTTATCGATTTGCGAAAGGCGTCTTCATCGCGATGCAAAAGCACAATGTGTGGCAGCGCCTTTGCGAGCTTGCTTACCAGACCCGAATTCGTTGGAACTTCTAGCTGCGGTCGCGCTTGGGGTAGAGACTTTGTCCTTCGTAGGAACCAAACAACCGCAAATACGGCCGTCGCAATGCCCAGGGAATTCAAAAAAGTGGCCATGGTGTCTTACCCGAGAGGCAACCGGAAGGGTAATGCTGTATGGAATCCGTTAGCTGCAAGGATCCCATGGGAGAGGCGGCGATTTTGAATCTCACCCGCTTACTGGGGCAGTGCATCCTCCTTAGTTCGTGGAAACGGCGCCAAGGACTGGACTTGTTGGACAAACAGATGGAGACGGACACTGATCGCATCGGTGCCAATTACTACACGGTGGATTTACTGGTGCTGTTGTCGCACGTATCATGAAGCTTATTGATAGTTCATGGAAAATATCTGCCAAGACTCAGCATGCGACAGTTAATGAACATAAGAAGATTCGTAGTGGATTATTGAATCGACGGCAATCTAACTACTTGAGCTGTCTAGTGACTGCTTGCGCTCTCATTATCACTTTCCCACCATTTCCCATGGAGCAGGTTTCGAGGCGTCTCCATCGCCTAGCAGCATCATTAGAAAACCTCGCAAGAGGGTCCTGGTCACGGTGGATTACTGATACCACAATTGCCGTGTCATCCTAACGGACACGTCAGTTACGTCCTTCCCCCTCGTCTACTACCAGGAGATCACGTCAGATTTTAGCTTAGATAGCCAAGAGTGTATCCAACATAATGTAACTACTCTCTGCAAGTTGCCTCATGCTTGGAGTTGTTTCTCGATGAAACTAAGATATTGATTACAGCCACCATAGTTCCATTTTTGAATTATCTTCAAGCCCTTGACGGACTGTCGGATAGTGCAATGAGGTCCGACGGCTGACTTCCCTCGCATTGATTTCTCGAGGCATCTTTGTCCACCAGCAAGCTGTCGAGAAGAGTGCCATCGCAATAAGAAGGAGACGTCAGAGGCTGGTTGGAAGAACGGAAGCCTAGCTCTGGGCTATGGCGGCCATGACATCCACCTTTGAAGGCGCGACACAAGAACTCTGGTGTATCTAATTCCGGATAATCCTTCGGCCTGCCAATCGCTCGGTCGATGAGAAATCTGTCGAGCATCCCTAGCATTCCTATATCATTTTGATAGCCCAAGCTAGCATCCCGAAGCCTGGTCTTAGCAATCCTGATCTTTTCACTCAACGTTAATTCCTCCTCGGTCTCTGTGTATTCGAGCTTAGGCCTCGCGCTCTGAACTCTAATACTAGTTGCTCTTGATGCTACATAGTTCAGACTTTCAGCTATGAAGACTTCATCGTCAAGAGACAGCAAAAATTCAGTTGAATAGAGTTAAGTTCTTCACCTATGTTGGCATCGCGTTCCCATATTCGGTTCTGTTCTTTTTTCTCTTCCGTTAATGATTCATCATGAAACCTAATGTAGCGACGGTGGACAACCAGGACCTCCTTGAGACCATGCAGTTCTCTGGCCTTCTGGACTGGCATATCTGAAGAGTGCGTGCAGTATTTAAGGCGGCACGTATTGCACTCGTTTGTTGTAGAATAGCAAATGTAGGGACGAGGCAACTATCGAGGTCCCATGTAGCAGTTTTTTCCACGCCTCACAGGCTGCTAGTTTCCTGGTAGGGCAGAGGATGTAGAATTCTATCTGTATTTGAAGGAGAAAACAGAATCAGGCAGCTAACAAGGCAGAAATGGGTGGTGAGGAATACTGCTAAGCTTTCTTTTGGCCCGATTTGATTGGGCCCCTTTAATCCCTCAGTGTTGTTGACCAAATTCTTCCATCTCAAGTGGGAAGGACGATAAACGTTTCTGACCTATGAGACGAGTCACATGGGGTGGTAACTTTGAGTGTTTGAGCCGTTGCTAACAATAGATGGCGTAGACTACTCATAGTAGGCTAGCGGAGAGCCGGTGTCTTAGTTGAACCAGGGTATCACTGCGTTCTCCGAGACATCTGCCCCCTATTGATTTGGACACTTTCAGACTAGTATTTACAACAACCATTAGGTAGATGAGACTGTTGAACGCAATGCTTTGAAGAGGATGAGTTGAGGATCCGTGTGAGCCCAACACCAACACCAATAGGAGGCTGAGCTGTTGGCAACGGCTTATTAGATAATTGGACCTAGGAACTACCTGAGTACGGAGTATCTGACTATTATTGTCGTACGGACCAAGATTCCTACCTAGTAAATCGATAGGCGAGTGGGTTGTGTCTTAAGTTCTACAAGCTCATTTAATGTGCCATCACACTCCACCGCAACATCCAGGCAACAGGAATCTTAATTTTTCTTAATTGCGTTATGCATTGCAATAGAGAAAACCAAGTCTTAATATTATTCAAGTGCAGCAATGAGTCAAGGCAGCCTTCTCGTATGTATTTCCAAGCCAAGGACCGCACGAAACGATCGGCTCGTGTCATTGAGGCTGTACAACGCCAGCCTTGGCCTTGGCCCTTGGGTCTCAGTCCAAGCGATACATTAAGGCCCTTAACTTATCGATCTGCCTCGCCGTCTCGCGCTGCTGATCTTCCGGACCCCAAACCGATAATCTCCTAGCTTGACTAGTTCATAATTGTAGCCGTGTTCCAGAAGTAGCCTGTAGACTAGGTAGATATAAGACTGCCTGCCTGCCCGCAGTTTTCCTTTTTCCTGCCCGTCCATGAATCCGCCCATTTTAGGTTCTGTTATGCCTTCACCGCGTCAAATCAGCTCATTATGAGATGAGCACGTTTTCCATCCAGAAAAGCCACTTTTGCCACTAGTGCAGCTTCATTCATTACAATCTCTTTGACTCTATAGACCCAGCTTTTTCCTTCTTCTCTTGTTTACCATCTGCATACGGATATTCGAGGTTGCTAAGCGCTTGTTGCGCTCTTATATACAAACATAGTCCTCACCACCATTCCTTACGACTTTTATTATCACCATGCTGCTACGATTTCTGGCACTGGCCGGTCTCTGCCTGGGCCGTGGTGTCGCTGCCCTCGCCCCTCAGGGCCACGGTCTCCCCTCCAATATACAAACATCAAACATCCAACATACTCGCCATTTCTACAAAATCGACATTCCCTGCTCTCACTGTGCATTCTCAGACGCCGAATGCTCTCAGAACCCCGAGGCAAAATCACACGTGGTACGTCAATCATCAAATCTCCAATACAACGATGCTAAACTAACGTCACAGACTATTACCTTCTCCTCCGACAATGGCACCCTATACGCCAACCACGAATCCGTCTTCCCACCGTCACTACCCATGCAATTCTCCGCAGTCAAGCACTCGGCCTCCGGCGACCAATCCGTCCAGGTCGCATACAGCCTCGACGCACGACCGCTCCCCGCCCAGCCCGGCGCCCTCCTAGGCGAGACATTCCTCCTCAAACTGCGCCTGTTCGATCTCCACGGCCGGCCCGTCACACCGGACCTGATCGCCGTAGCCGTGTCCCGGCACAAAGACGGCTCCCTCCGCATCAGCAAGGTCGAGCGGTCCCCGTTCCACAGACACGGCCACATGACGTCGCCGTGGCGCCTTCTCAAATCGCACATCAGGCCTTACCTCGATCAGTTGGCTGGGGGTGCGGCCCCTGAAGGACCGCGCCATCATCGCCGGCCGCTACATGCGGACATCTACCGATTCAGGGACCCTGCGTCCCACTACCACAATACCATGCCGTGGAGCAGCCGCGATCGCAGCTTCATGAGGCTCGTGCGGCCGGTGATCCTGCCTGCGTTGCTGGGTGTTGCGGCGGGGCTGTGTGCGTGCCTGGTTGGGTTTGTGGTCGGGAAGATGATGATCTCGCTGTGTCGGTGTTGGTATGTCCGCAGCGGAAGGGGGTATCGCGAGGTTCCGGCTATTACCATCGACTCGGTGGAGGTGGAGGAGGGTGTCCTCTCGGAAAAGGAGAGCTTGAGTCGATCGTCACGGTGGCTGGATGTATGACCCTGTATGAACCATAGATTTCTGTTTGTATACTATAGCGCACGCTCATGAATCATTGCCGAACTGCGCCCTTTCTTAAGTTGATATATCCCTCATCTGCATCAACAAGGCCTGCTGGCCCAATGGTAAGGCGCTTGACTACGGATCAAGAGATTGCAGGTTCGAATCCTGCGTAGGTCATTCTTTTTGCTTTGCAAATTTTTGCAAATTTCCGTTGTGAATATTTTGGCTGTCAAATTTTTTTGCTGCCAAGTCTGGATCATATGGAGAGATCCACTAGGACCACATTCCGTATTCGGAAATGGATGTCTCCACTCGGCCGAGCTTCGAGCCAAGCAACATAGTAAGATATCTGCTCCTTCGGTCAGTTTTGCTGAACAATTGTGAGCAAGTGGGCAATCATTCAGAATTGCCACTTCCAAGGAAAGATGCGCAGCCAGAACGACAACGGGCTATAGGGTCCAGCTAACTAGGACAAAGTGACATCTAGCGGCAGTGGAATATACCAAGGGAACTATCTCTAGACTGGGCAGGCTTCCAACGGGATACCTCTCCGGTATGCTGAGGGAACTCTAGCGAATAAACAGGACAGGAACGGCGGAAGACAGCAACTAATGCAGTACAGCTAAATGAGCAGGAGTTGCTCATGACGCGACGATACAGTTGTATAATCCATACCCTAATATCCAGTTCTTAATGGAACCTACCCGCGCATCATGGACCTCAAGACTACAATGGGACCAGAGTACAAGCCTCATCTTGTGGTTGTGCTCATAGTAAGCATCTCCATTCATTCTATATACATAGACGATTCTACCTCACTATCTATATTCATTAGGTAGTCAGTCATATGAATTTGCTCCGTCCCCTGGCCTATATAGGTATGGCTGCAAGCAGCCAGTCTAGAATCTCAAGTAACTGCATTGGGCTCTGGCCTTAGACCAGCGGCTCTGCGTGATGTTGCATTCTAGAATACCGTCTTCCATGAGTGATACTACTGTGGATTTGATGGCAAGGTACATTGCCTGATTCTCCACAACGGACCGCTGCGGACCATTGCAAGTGACAGTCATTATCAGCATGCTAACCTTTAATTGAGATGTCAGTTGAAGCCTGAGGGGTTCTTTGACAAGGCTGCTTATGTGGTACATTGACTAATAGATCGGTGATGAGCTATCAGCTTATACGTATCTAGAATGGTGCAGATATTCCCATTAAACATAAAATTATAAGCACACTCATAAAAACCATTACCTCCAAGTAGAATTGAAACGCGCATCCTGAATTGACTCCGACAGCAAGTTCAGCGCAAAGTCTTTATAATCGAACTCAGCTTGTCAAGTAGCGTATTGATGGTCCCTTTGTCTCTTTCACCCCCGTTGGGTGGGCTCGTGATGACATTGACATTTGTGCCGCCGCCGGTGTTGGTCGCTCCACCGTTGACTCCATTGCTGGTGTTTCCGCCCCCATTGACCGGGTCTGTTTCAGTCGATCTCTTGGTATGTTCAGATACCTTGGTGCTGGCGGAGTCTGGCGCTTCCATGCTGGCTGAAGCCCGACTGAGAGTAGAGTCTACAGCTTCAGAACCCTTTGTAGCCGTTCCGGATTCTGCAGGCTCGTTGGGGGTAGATGCTCTAGCACCGTTTGCAAGCGTCGAAGGACTGTCCTTTCCATAGACTGCGTCGCCAGTTCCAGAGCCAGTTCCAGTTCCAGAGCCAGTTCCAGAGCCAGTTCCAGAGCCAGTTCCAGAGCCAGTTCCAGAGCCAGTTCCAGAGCCAGTTCCAGAGCCAGTTCCAGAGCCAGTTCCAGAGCCAGTTCCAGAGCCAGTTCCAGAGCCAGTTCCAGAGCCAGTTCCAGAGCCAGTTCCAGAGCCAGTTCCAGCGCCAGTTCCAGCGTCAGCGCCAGCGCCAGCGCCAGAGCCCCAGCTGCCCGCAGTGCCGTCGCTAGAACTGCTACTGCCACCCCAAGATGCTGGCATTCCAGGGCTCGCGGTTCCAGACGCACCGAGAGCGCTGGAAACAGATTCGCCCCCTTTAGATGCTGCATCTCCAGAACCTAAGCCAAAGCCTGCCATGGCGCTGCTCCCGGAGCTGCTGGGGGAGGAACCGCTGCTGTTAGGCTTGGTACCTGTGCCGCTGGCCTCGCCAGCATTACCAGAGACCCAAGATCCGCTGGCCTTGGTTCCCGGACTCGCGGAAGCAGAGCTAGAGCCTCCACTACCACCCCAAGATGCGGAAGTGCCAGAGCTGCCTGAAGTGGTGGTCGGAGCACCGCCACCCTTAGAGCCGCTACCGGGATCGCTGCCTGCGGTGGCAGACCCGCTCGCCCCGGTACCTGGAGCGCTAGAGCCAGGGGTCCACGGCGAGGCAGGAGTGCCTTCATCTTCGTCTCCGGATGGTGTGACCGCGATACCGGAAGGAGCTGTTCCACCAGAGCTATTACCGGCCCAAGTGTTTCCCGTTGTCGTACTTCCGGGCTGAGGCTGACCATTACCTGCGGCGGCATTTCCGGTGGTCATGTCGCCAGTGGCGGTGCCGTCAAAATCAGAGTATTGTCTGGACTGGATGTGCGTGCTGCTGTCCACGCCAGAGGCTTTGTGCCAGTCGAGCTCCTCGGCGAGGCCAGCGGCTCCCTCCTGCCCAAGTCTGCCGTGGTAACCTTCCTGTGCCGGATGTCAGTAATGAACAAGATATGAATTCATAGAGGACTCACGAAATCTAACTGGTCCATGGCAATAGGTCTAGCTCCGACAAGACCAGAAAATGAGACCATATCGATCAAGAAGATCAAAGCCAGTAAGCTGGTCTTGGCCCTCCGTAGTGTAGCCATAGTAGCGATATCTCAGCGATGTTTTGATTGAGTCAAGTGGAGAATTACAACAATCAGATCAAGAAGAACTGCATTCGCCGAGTCTTCGTGTCTGGGAATGTCCACAGACGTTGGGAGTCTGTCACGCTTTTTAACTGTTACTATATCCTAAGCTTCGAACGGCCGAGACTTAATCATTAGGAGTCTTGAGCATCATGAGCTCAATCCGTCGACGCCACAAAACAATTGGTTACATTAAGGTCAAGCAAAACCACGGCCGTTTCTGTGAGCGGACCACAACTGGAGAACAGCTCCTACCTTAATCTTGGTTCGAGCACTAGAGCTCGCCGAACGCTTGGTTCAGGCGCGGGATCAATGGTATAGGGCGAGAGAACGAAGGAAATCAGTAGCCCCCAAGGTGGATTCAGGTTGCATCGCGACGGGTGATACGCTTCGGGAACACGTCGAGCACCTGGTTTTCCAAAAGCCTGATTGAGTCCAGAAGCGGGCCGTTGATTGACATGTGAGAGTGACAGGCACGTCTCCGCCTGACAGTCCTCTGTCTGACTCCGGATCTCTAAGAAGCTAGGTCTTCAAGTTGAACCGGGCTCCAGGTGCTGCTTGTGCTGGTTGTGACGAACACCGAATACCCCCAGTATCAGAATAGACGAGTGTACAGACAATGAAATGCCCCTGGAAAGGGATGGTTCTATCAAATGGTGTGAACATGGTTGGCAAGCCTGGGCGATCTTGTTCAACTCTACCAAGCAACTTGAGTAAGCTAAGCATCGGTGCTTGGACCTTCGTGGCTTGTGTGTTGATGCTTATGGTTTCTTGCCTTCCTGTTGCAGCTTCATGCAAACAGGTGAGAATCCCGACTGGTTGGAATGCGACCGCATCTGGACGCGATCATGGTGTCAACAATGCTGGCCTAGTGAGAAGAAGATCGAACGCTACGATATATCAACTCTTACTGCAAATGACGATCTTCTCTTCACTTCATGGTTCATTCATCCGGAGAATGTAGAAATGATTTACGATTGTATCCCTCCTTGTCTGGTGTTGAGCTCAGACACGAGGAACAGAACGTGGGGTGGTCTGGCGATGGAATGGAATGGAATGCAGGGTCTGGTCAAGGAGTCTGATCGTATCCTCACCTGCGAAGATTCCACGTTCCAAATCACCAGGCCTTTCCCATATGCCAGCTGGCTGTTGACCACATTCCTTGGTTCATCGATGAACCAAGTACTCGTTGGGTGTTTGACGCGAAACTAGGTCAGGTGAGCCTGAAATATTTCCCCAGCGGTTCAGAATTTCGGTTGGTGGATGAAAGTTGAAGACAGTGCAATTAACGAGGACGGAGAGCAGATGCGAAATGAAGGGCGCTGTCCTGGGCTGCAAGACAGCCTTTCTGAGTTGCTTCAGCTCGGTGCGAAGACATTCCCAGTTAGGAAAGCGCGGCGCCACTGGAATCCTTTTAACTTTGATCAAGTAGAGCGAAGATGCCTGAAAGCGGCCGCCTGCCTAGGACATTATTGCGAAGGTCAAAAGTCAAACACGCTTTTCGTCGAGGTAACCCTTTATTATTATTATTGTGTTTCGCGAGAATGAGACATCTCGCAGTCAAATCTGAATTGTCCTCAAATGTACAGGTAGATAGACTATGCCTTGCTGAGGGAAGGCCAATTCTCTTACCTGCGGGAAATGAGCAATGCCATCACGGGTGATTTTAATGGAAATGCCATGCTTCCGAGGGGCAGGAAATGTATTAGCAGGCACCTTAATGCTCCTTGACAGCAAGGTGATTCTTATCTTCAAACTTCAACAAGCAAATTGCTTTTATTGCACAGCATATTCGAAATTAACACAAGTTAAGCTACCTAGTAGCGAGGGATCTCAGGTAGCATCAAATTACACTTGCCTTTGTGTTTCACCCATGGTTACCAGAGGTGCATAATTCATAGCTCCAGGTTAACGTCCAAGGCCAATTTGCCACCGACTTTAATCTATTGGAGATTTTAGCCTTTTACTTGTTGCTTACCTAGCTGTAGCTGAAATCGTGGCTAGTGAGCTAGTATACGTCAATGATAACGTCATATACCAATTGGCTCCCAGAAGCGCACTAAAAAGCTCATTTTGCCAGCGCAGAGCAAGAAGACAATAGGTGGCGGCTTTTATGATCATACGAGTCTCCCTCTGGAGAGGTCGGAGCCGAGAGGGGCTGGCAAGTTGGAGTTTGCGATGTGGATGATCGACTGCGGATCTGAGCAATTGAGTTTTCATGTTCATTTTCAGGCAATTCCCTCTCTGATGATTGGCCAGAAGCTCAAGTAAATCCCACCGCCTAAGTGTGATACAGAAATACTTGAAGTAGTGGTACAAAGCACAACGTGAGGGAGCCATCCTTAATCTGAGTAGACATTGCGTTAATCCTGTTATGCAGCTCATTTTGTCGATGCAAATTACTCCAAATTGGCCAGCATGTGTCTAGAAATGCGCTTCTATCCCTATGCTTGAAGCTAGGAACTTAGCAACAGAACTAACAGAGACTAACAGATCTAAGAGTGTGGCTGGTGACCGCTTCGAATTCTGCACTCCGTACTCCGTAATGATGAGCAAAATCTCAAATCTTTGATCGGACTATCGCACGCTAAACCCTGAAATCTAATGGTGCAGCCAATGATAGACCAGATATGCTTCGGCTCAAGCCACAGCGGCTGGGATCATACCGACTCTATGCCGTATTCTCAGTCAGCCACCTGCCCGCATACAGAATCAAGATTCCTGCCACGACCCACGCTTGTAAAGTTGATCAGTCCATGATTCTATCAATGACTTCACCGAGCAGCAAAACATGCCCCGTGCCTCCATCCCTACTCCCTAGTAGTGGGTACCTACCTTGCAACTACTCTGTACTAGACTAGCCACGTTGCTGGGCAGCATTCAGCCGGAGACGCGGTCACGGACTCACTGTGGACAAGGTCCACCGGCGATCGCACTTTCATTGAGAGAATGGGTCATTAGGGCCATTGGGGGACTCAAAGCTTCAATTGCTTTGAACTCAAGTGTGATGTTTGGTTTACTTTCCGCTTGGGCCGTAGTTACCTTATAAAAAGCCCCGTCTTCCACTGCCGCTCCTTTGCATTCTTTCAACTTACATCATCGACCTGATCCTGTTCAAGGCCTCAAGATTGCTTTAATTGATTTAATCTTTAATTGATTTAATTAATTCAATATCAATCTTCTGATTCTCACTTGATTTTCGATATCCTATACCTCATCATGAAGGCCTCTGTGTCTCTTCTTTTGCTGTCGGCTGCCAGCATGGCGAGCGCTGCCATATCTGTCTCCCAGTGCGCAGTACGTTGTTCAGTTGCCCTGAAACTACGTCAAAGTCTCCCTTGACTGACTCCCCCTTTCGCAGCAAATGTGCCTCAACAACATGAAAGCCAAGGCTGGCGAGCTGGGCTGCTCCGCCGGCGACGATAACTGTCTCTGCTCAAAAGTCAACTACGGATATGGTATCCGTGATTGCACTACCGAGGCCTGCCCTGGCGACGATACCGCCGCTGTCCTATCCAGCGCCCTTTCCTCTTGCCCTAGTAAGTACTCACGAGATTCTGCGCTGCCCCAACGCGATTGAGCTGGGTGCTGACTGCAATCGTTAGGTGACTCTGCAGCGGTCACTGCCACAGGAGCTGGTGGCTCTGGCTCAGGCTCAGGCTCCGGCTCTGGTTCTGGCTCTGGCTCTAATTCTGGCTCTAACTCTGGCTCTGGCTCTGCCTCTTCCACCGCTACTAGCACCGCTACCGGCAGCGAGAACGGCACGACTGGTGGTGCTGGTGCTGGCGCTGGCGCCTCCACTGGCACCAACGCTTCGGGAACTGGCGCTACTACCTCTGGGGCGAACCCCTCCAACACTGGCGCCACTACCACAGATACGACAATGACTACTACTACCACCAGCTCTGAGAACGGCTCCTCCACTGGCAGCAGTTCCTCCGAGACTGGAGCTGGTAGCGGCACTTCCACCTCTACCGGTTCAGGCTCCGGCTCCGACTCCGGCTCCGCTTCCACTACTGCCCCCAACAGCTCGTCCACTGGCAATGTTGCCCCTCGCGGCGCTGTCGTTGGTTCCGGTGCCGTCGGAGCCCTGGCCCTCGCTGCCTTGGTTATCCTCTAAACCTCTCAAAGATTGAGTTGATGGGACTATGTTTGTTGATGTCAGTGTATGTCTTACGTTGATGAATAACGGTTGATGATACCTGCCGTTGAAAGCCGGCTTGTACATGGGAATTGGTGGATTCTGGTCTGATGGGTAAATAATGTTTTGACCTTGTCTGATGCCACGGCATATGTCGTGCTCTCCTAATAGATTAATATTTCTGAACTGTCTATATCTTTCTCATATTCAAATAGACTCTCAGGGCGCCGTAGATATAGCTAACCAAGTATATAAGTAGTAGTATCAGGCGCCAGCATATACTGCAAGCTCGAGCACGCACGTGGATGCGAAAGTTGACTATCCTAGTCCTACTCTGTACCGTCACTTCACTTCGAGCGGTCTGTCGCATGTGATCCTTGGCATTCCCAGAAGGTCTCTGATGACATCAGCTGGTATCGAGATACTCTCCGTGTTGTCAGTCAAGAAGGTCAGTCGCTTGAGCCAAAAATCAAATACTGGAAGATAGGGATGTCCACGAGAGCCAAGCTTCCTGTCGTCCGTAGAGAGCTCTCTGCTGTTGGGCTGGTGTGACTGGCCAGAATACCTGGAGTAATGGAATCCGGGGCAGGGATCCGTGGAGGGGGTAAAGACCTAAAAGTCAAGCCGTGGTTTAGTGCCCGTTCACCCGGACCGTCCATTGCGCGCGGTCGAGTATCCGATGGTCGCAGAAACGGTACAAATTCAGGGATGTAGGACAGAATATGGAGCACACAAGATCACTCTTAGGATGTGCCTTCGATGATAAAGTGCAGCTGACAAGATCAGAATCTGTCTTATCGATATTTCGACCGTCTGCGATCGGAGGAGATATATTGATCCGGACCGAGCCGAGGTCCAATCACGCGCATTCGCCGAGCAGTGGTTGTACCTCTGTAGCGGGACTGTATTTGTCGGTATCCTCCTGCTCGGCCTCGGCCGCTTTTGTTGCGGGATTGGAAGCTATTTTTTCCCATTCGACTGTCTTTTCTCCTTCTATTCTGTTGTAGAATATCATCCCTGATCAAATTTCTCCTCACTTCAGCTTCGTTTCTTCGTTCTTCCTTTTCGCGACCGTTTGGCGTCCTCCGTTCCTCTCACCCTTGGCTCTGCTCTCGGGATCGCCTCACACATTGGCCTCTTTGTGTCCCTGCTTATCTTCCTCCTCTTCCCCGCCACGAACTAACTGAGTCGTTTTCCCCCGTCTCCCTGCACACCTTCCACAATGTCGACCCCCGGTTCGTCTACTCCTGAAAACCTCAGTGATGAGCTGAAGGCCGTCGAGACAAAGGCTGTCAACCAGACCATTGCTCAGATCCGCTCCCTCGTCGCAGGTGCGGCGGGTGGTATCTGTGCGGTGGTTGTCGGCCATCCCTTCGATCTGGTGAAGGTGCGGTTGCAGACGGCGGAGAAGGGTGTCTACTCGGGCGCCATTGATGTTGTCAAGAAGACTATTGCCCGTGAGGGTTTGGCTCGGGTAAGTCGCGCGGTCAGTTGAGTGTGGTGCTTGGTATTAATCACCTGTAGGGGTTGTACGCTGGTGTTTCGGCTCCGCTGGTTGGAGTCACCCCTATGTGTAAGTTTCGTCGCATTCTTCGGAAACCAGAGTATTGAGCTAATTGACGTTTGTAGTCGCCGTTAGCTTCTGGGTATGTGTTTGGTGGTAAAAGTGGGTGTCTGGGTTGAAACCATTAACAATCCATAGGGTTACGACGTCGGTAAAACGCTTGTCAGCCGGTTCTCGAACGTGCGCATGGAGAACAACACCCCCCAGTACACAATCGCCCAGATCTCCGCTGCTGGTTTCTTCTCCGCCATTCCTATGACACTGATCACGGCTCCCTTTGAGCGCGTGAAGGTGCTTCTGCAGATTCAGGGCCAGAACCCTCCGCCTCCGGGACAGAAGCCCAAGTACTCTGGTGGTCTGGACGTTGTCCGGCAACTATACAAGGAAGGTGGGATTCGGAGTGTCTTCCGCGGAAGCGCCATGACTCTGGCTCGTGATGGGCCTGGTTCCGCCGCCTACTTCGCTGCGTACGAGTACATCAAGCGCAAACTGACCCCCAAGGACGAGCACGGCAATGTCACCGGTGCCCTGTCCATGCCCGCCGTCCTGGCTGCCGGTGGTGCTGCCGGTATTGCCATGTGGATCCCCGTCTTCCCTGTCGACACCATCAAGTCGCGTCTCCAGAGTGCCCCCGGCAAGCCCACAATCGGCGGCACCATCCGGTCGGTCTACGCCAGCGGTGGCTTTAAGGCGTTCTTCCCTGGTTTCGGTCCTGCCTTGGCCAGAGCTGTGCCTGCAAACGCGGCTACATTGTATGTGATTTCCTGACGTGTTACATTGAATACGGTTTACTAATGACTCGAACAGTGCCGGTGTCGAACTCGCGCACCAGTTTATGAAGAAGCTCTTCGACTAGATGTCGAGACTTGATGGAACCAAAAATAGGAATGAGATTCGATCGTGTAGGGTGGATCGTCCGTTGAGATATTGTATATATACCACTTTCCGTTGTTCGTGGCCCCGAGAGTGCATATTCCGCGTTTCTTGCCAGTTTTTCTCTGCTATGTACGGGAGCATAGAAAGCCTGGATATCCTGTTTACTAGGTTTTATAGACTTGATGATGATTTTCTATTGGTCTATTCGCAATCAGCTCCATTATGCGACCGTCGAACAAGACTGTTTGATTTCTGAAACATTTGGCGCCATGCTGACAGTAATGGTGATCCGAACCAATCGTTTCTTACCTTCCCGAAGAAACATTTGTCTGGAGTCCAAGCTCACTCTTGGTGTACCTGATATTTAAGGTGCACGATGGGCTAAAACTCAGCTAGCAGAGTCAGTAGACAAATAGGTAGGGGAATAAGCATCGATTGCGACGCTGTCAGGCCTCTTATCCAGTAATTCAACCTGGATACTCGTACTGATGCTATGAATTTTGCATGGTTGATAGGGGAAGCCTGCTGACGGAATCGTGTTGCTCTGCCCCTAAGTTTGCTGCGTCAGGGAAGGATGAGAGATGGATCTGATAGGACCGAATGGTGCAAGATATTGCGCCCTCGTAGAATTTCATTGGCGTCGATACATCCGTAAACCCCGATCTGAGGCTCAGCCTCGTTGCTGCCTTCTAGCCCACTCGCCTGCCTGGACTGGCTGACCCGCCTGCCGCCCCCCGTTCCAAGCAAATAAAATCGCCGACGCTCCCATCACCTTTCCTTTGTTTGATTCTTATTGCCACCCAACTACTTGTCTCTCTCTATCCATCAAAGCTATCTATCACATATTCTTATTCATATTCTTCGATAACATTTGATTCTCATTTTGACACGATCCATCATGGTTGTCAGCTCCCTCGTCCGTCGAGGTGTGGAGCTTGCCTCCGAGCATTTGCAGAAGCACCCAAAGCAGCCTTCCAAGCAACCGCCTGAGATCCATCTGTCGGGATGGCTCGTCGCTCTCTTTTTCGCTACGTTGATTGCTTTTGTTCTCATTTCTTGGTCGGTGAGTGATGATTTCCGTCAATATGCCACTGCTTAAAAGGAACATGCTAAATGAGCCGTGATTTAGATCGAGTACACCTATGGCATGGTAGTCACCACCCTGGCTGCGGTTGAAGACAGCAACCCCGACATCTATGTCCGCATCGACGGTGACATGGATCCCACCAAGCCCGGGGATGAAGTCGAACCCGAGTTGGCAGCTGTGCCTCCCAAGCCCATCACCAGCAAGCTCCGTACCACCGTTAAGCACCTTCGCGCCCGTGCCGGTCCCTGGTCTCGATTCCGCGGCATGAGCATGTTCCTGACATACCTTTTCGCTCGGGGCTTCCTGCTTGGTATGATGCCCTTTAGAATGGACCAGTTTATTCCCCAGTTCATCTTCCAAATGGTTGTTGGGGTTCTCCTGGCGAACTTGCAGTTGGCTTGGGTCCACATTGTCATCTCGGAGCCTTCCCCTAAGCGCTTCTACCAGCGTATTCCTGGCTACAAGGCCTGGTTGAAGATCGCACCCGTTGTGGCCTTTGAGCATGCTGTTGCTGGTCTTGCATTCTATGTTCCTCTCGTTGTGATGAATGCTTGTGGGGCCCTGGATGGATTGGCCTCCGCTCCCGAGGATGGTGTTCCTCCCGCCGAGGCCGTTCGCCAGGCGCTCACCGTTGTCGCTCTTCCTTCTCTGCTTTCACTGATCGCGTCCATTCCTGCTCGCGTGGTCTTCATCCGTGTCGCCGCTTCGATGCTGCCCGAGGAGGACGAGTCTATCGTGCCTTTCGATCGCTCTTTCGGCGGAAAGGTGGCTCCCGCTATTCTTGGGGGCAGCGGTAAGCTCAGCATCACCGATGCTTGGAAGACCTTCGACCGGGCTGCTCGGATTCGTTTCCTCAAGGTGGTCGGAAAAGTCATGGCTCTTGAATTCGGCGTGTTTGCCTTCTTCTCGCTGGCGCTCGCCGGCGAAGTTTATATGGGAGCGGAGTCTTTCATGAAGATCATTGCGGACATGATCGCTCGCAGCGGCGGCGGCGCTTAAGTATATCTCATTCTGGATTTGTGTCAGTCTGACTCGGCTGCACAGATTGGACATCTACACTTTTCTCATTTATCATCTCAGGTCTATACGATTATCTTTCCTATTTAATGTCAATCTATCAGCTGCATTTTGCATGTCCCTCCGCTGAATATTTATAATTTGGATTCATATTTTCCTCGTAAAGCCATATTCATATTATTATCCTCCGCCAAATGTGGCCTCTGTACTTGAAGCATAGTGGCAAATCATCTTGCCATGACTGTGGCGGCGCGGAGACTTCCAACGCTGACTTCATGCAGCCGAATGTCACGCCTTGGGCTGCCCCTCACCAGAACAGCCACTTGCCATTCTGTTCTCTCCTCTTCTTCTCTTGCTGTTGGTTATTCTTAGGCATTACCCCTAGTCTTCGAAAGGAACATCCGCTGTTCTCACATTTCTAGCCTATCATTATTCTTGCGCATCATCGCGCTTGGAGTCCCTGACGATCTCCGATCTCTCTGATCCCTCTTATCGCTCTTGTCATACCACATCCGCCTGTCTTCCAAGGTATCTATCTGTTAGTGATAGGTAGCCCCGCTTCCCCACTCAACCAATCTTCACTCTCTGTACACCGTTCATTATTTTCCGATTCAGTTTCTTTCTCCTCTCCGTCTTTGGGCACCTTTCAGACACATCTTTCTTATTTCCCTCCTCTACCTTTTGTTACTGAGACCCAAAGTCTACCGATTCTTCAATCCAACTTCTCTTCTTAGCTCCTGGGGTGCTCAGTCGAGACCGAACCCTCTTCTACCATGGCCACAACACCAGCCGGTCGTATGCTGGCACGCCAGTTGCAGCAGATGCAACAGGACAAGGACATTCCGGGAATTAGCTGTGGGCTGGTGGATAACAATGTATTCGAGTGGGAGGTTATGCTCATGATCTCGGACGATGTCAAGTTATACGGCGGTATGTGCACTTTTTCTCACCTCAGTTACCGAATAGATGACGAGGAACTATAGTCGGCAGTTTGAAGATATTCTGACGATGTTTGACAGGGGGTTTCTTCCGTGCTCGACTGTCTTTCCCTCCGGAATATCCGCATATGCCGCCGAAAATGAAGTTTGAAAGTCCCGTTTTTCACCCAAACAGTAAGCCTGCGTCTTTGCCTCTTTGTGGTCGGTTGATGCGTGATATGATACTGAGACAATCTCTTTCTGTTAGTCTATCCCAACGGTGAAGTCTGCATTTCCATCCTACACCCCCCGGAAGAAGACAAGTACGGCTACGAGTCCGCCGCCGAGCGCTGGTCTCCCGTTCAAACGCCGGAAACCATCCTGCTGTCCGTGATCTCTATGCTCTCGAGTCCGAACGACGAAAGCCCGGCCAACGTGGAGGCCGCCCGGCTATGGAGGGAAGACCCGGCCGAGTTCAAGAAACGTGTCCGCAAGTGCGTACGCGAGAGTCTAGGGGAGGACTGAGCGCATTAACTGGAGTCGACTGCATACAATACGCTTGAATTCTTTCTGAAGGCTTTTTTCTACTGTTGATTTGACCAGCGCGATAAGCGGGTGCGGTTTTCGGTGCTCATTTATTCTGTCTCATGTGCATGAGGAACCGGTCAATGGGCGGTTCAGTCTTATACGTTTCTATGGTCTATACATCATCTCTCGGCTATTTTCTTGTTGGTATGGAGTTTACTGCGCTCTAAGGGTCTGGAGTTGAATTGATTCATTCGCATTATGGCATCATAGCTTGAGATCAGCGCGCTGCACATATATGCTTGGTTGCTGTGTATTCACGGTGTCCTCGGCCACTGTTTATGCAGTACTTTTGTAAATGATTCTAATATTACCTCTTGAGAGTAGTATCAATAAGAATATCTCTATAAGTGACTCATGTGTATATGGTGCAGCCATGTACCAGAACCCAAACGCCGGCTAAAAGAAGCATGTTGAAATGGACAAGAATGGTATACATTCAATGCTAGGGCTGGTTCTTGGGACCCTTTCGGATAGACCCGAAGAAGAACCCCGGGTGCAGGACCGTGAGGGCAAGAACCGCCAGTGCGATCATCCTGCTGTTGTTAGTGGTTGTATACCTGCAGGGTGGTGTTACTGGACTTACATCCCGTCGAGGACGAGAAACTCGTTTTCCTTCTGCATCAGGGGGTTGCCCCATCCGCCGGCCATTTCGGGGATACTGGTCTCCTTGTTAGTGTCCTGCGAGATGATCGGGTAGGTGGACGGCGAGGGTATATACATACCGGTAGATACAACGGATCAGAACGGTAAAGTAAGCGAGGACCTCACCGACAATGACCCATTTAATGTTCCTCCCGACGGAGGTCTTCTCACCGGACAACCCAGGCCCCCGTTTCGAATACCGGATGAAGAACTCCAGCCCAAGGAACCCACACACGGACATCGTCGCAACCTGGAACGCGATACCCGCGATGATGATGTCGTCTCCTGCCTTCAGCAGGCTGACGTTCGTATTCCCCGCTGCGGCTGCGACGCCGCCTCCCGCTGCCTGAAGGATGAGCGAGCCCACGTCGCAGCCGATGAAGATCCAGGTGAAGAGGGCGGGTTTGAGGCGGGAGTGCTCGGGGCCCAGGGCGAGGATGATGTGTTTCAGGGTGAGGTAGATGCCTGCCGCGACGAAGGTGGGTGCAAGGACTAGACAGACGATCTGGAGCTTGAAGGCTGAGGAGTCCCATGGGTTACTGTGCATGAGCACGCGGCCGATGTAGCCCGCCAGTTCGAGGATGGCGCCTACGGCGACTGCCACCATGAAGGTCCATGTGCGGTAGTAGATGCCGATGCCGAGCTGGAGGAGAGCGAGGATGCCGAAGAAGACGGTGAAGAAGATGTTGCCGGCTAGGTTGGGGTAGTAGCCGTATGTCGTGGCCTCGACCGGACAAAGCGGGCTGACTTCTGTGCAGGTACTGTAGCTGGCCATGTTTGGTGTGACCAGGGGTTGTACAAGCAAAGGGAAAGACGTTAGATGAAAAAAAGGAAGGACGAAATGTATTTGTCTATATTATGCTGAGAAAGAGAAAGAGAAAGGAGAGGATGAACCCAGACCCAGAACGATCCATAATGAGGGTTTGGGTGGATGTACTCTGTAATATTTTAGTAACAGTTGAATCAGTAAACCGTCCATTGACATTCATCATTTATGTTAGCGCTGACGGCACCAAGATACCCGAGCCTGGTAGGATGATGATGCCAATGTCCAGGTGGATCGAGAACAAATATCGAAACACCTCGCTATCTCATTTGATTGGCGCTTGTCGTCCTCGCGTTCGCTCTCGCTCTCGTTTTCGTCTTCGTTTTGCCCCACTGACAGTACCAGGGCTTTATCATAACCGACACACGCCTGTGCTGCCTGCTAAGCCGCTCGGATTTCGGCCTCTCCTGGGTCCGTTGGTCCTTAATCTCAGATGCAATATACACAGTAGAGTACTCCGTATCTTAACCACAAAGCACGATCAGGTACCTGTTCGAGGGAGATCAATAAGGTTCTTTCCGAGCATAAAGTTATAAACGGCCAGATTCGAATCCCACCGGGCTTAGTCCGCCATCATCCATGATTCATGGGCCGCTAGTTGGAGTAGTGGGTACGCTGAGACCCCACCGTCGCAACAGGGACAACACTGAGGAAGTATTCGAATAAGCCTCATATGCTGTACATCAGGTCATAGTGCTTGGTTGATATGGAAGAAGGTAGTATCGTAGTCGTGGGTCAAAAGCAGTGCATCACTGAGGTTTGTCCGAGCACAAAAATGATGTTGTTGGGTGGTGCTGTTGACATGCGATACATATCACGTGATCCCATGAGAATCCCACGTGGTTTTCCATCTGTTATGACGGTCAAATCAACATCATCCACCGGCCATGCACAACACCACCGCAGGTGACAGCAGTTCCTAGTTCCCACCGTCAGCGGCAGTCCTCATATGGGATGAATCGGCTTCTTGACCTGATTAACCTTGGAGATGCCGCCCCGTCGATCTCATACAAAGTCCCGCATGGGCTGCGACCAGTGCAAGAAGAGAAGGGTCAAGGTGAGCCAATCACCTTTTTTACGTCTTCTGCATCGATATTTTGTTATCCTAATTCTGTTCTGACAGCAACATAGTGTGATGAGACTGGACCACCATGTACAAACTGCATTTCTAGAGAGTTGAGCTGCTCCTACTACAACACCCCCAAACCACGTAGTTTAGCGAATGGGGCATCTGCTAGCCCCGTGTCCATTACTTCTTCTGGCGAGGGGCGCATTGCTGAAACGTTCGGCCGGTCCTTCAACACCAGAACCTCGACCCTGACCAAAGGTTCCAACTTGCGAGAGCTGGAGCTCATGCACAAATACTCCACCGAAACTTACATGAGTCTCTCTAATAGACCATCAGACTACCATGTCTGGCAAATGGTCATTCCCCGCAAAGCTCTTGAACATGATTTTCTCCTGAACGGAGTTCTTGCGGTTGCTGCTTTGCATATAGCTTCAACCCTGAAGCCGCCAGATGCACTGACCTATATTGACACGGCCCTGGAATACCACAATCGTGCTTTTGCCCCATACCGACAAGCTATAGATAACCTAACCCCTATGAACTGCGATGCTGTATTCGCCCACTCCGTGCTCACTACGGTCATTGGTATAGCATTACCACGGCTGACTGCGGAGCGCAACGAGAGTTCAGGTATCACTGAAAATATCGTTGTGGTCTTCGAGTTATTGCAAGGCGTAAGCAAAATTTTCAAAATCAGCCGCCCATGGCTCACAATGCAGCTATTCACCTCACAAGATGACTTGGACAAAGTGACGACGTCGAAACTAGACAGCGAAACGGAGCGCGCGTTGAACCGACTAGCCGCATTGAACGATGATATTGTGGCTACTGTCGACCCTGATCAGTACCTCATAGTGAAGGACGCTATCTGTCGCCTCCATGAATGCTTTACGCGACATGCTACCAACGGGGATGCGGCATCCGTACTCAGGTGGCTCGCAGTAGCGAGCAAGGAATTTGCCCACGCCCTAAGATGTCGAAAACCATTCCCATTAATGGTGCTTATGTACTGGGGCGTACTACTTGGCGAACTCGATGGGAAATGGTGGTGGGCGAAAAACTCGGGTAGGGTTCTGGTTTCTGAACTCCTGGCCGCTCTGCAACCTGGAGATATCCGTTGGGAGGAGGCTCGGCTATGGCCCAAGCATAAAATGGGTCTATGATCTGCTCCAGTGTTGATTGGATTCAATACTTCTGGGCCTATCGAAGCTCGTCCATTTGACCGATCAATGGAGCCGGTCCACAGCACGAATGATTGTCTAACCATGATCAATTGGATTAACACGCGGCATCATAAACAAGATTTCAAATGGTCTTGGACAAGCCACTCTATCTGCACTCCTTTGGAACAAGATAGCTTGGATCAACATTCAGGACACTAAAGCTTCGCCAACTTCTTTGCTGTGTTCTCGTATATCTCCTTGATCCTCGCTGAATTAAGCCTGTCAACGTCATGCTTACAGGCAGCCAAGCTCAATGGTCCAGCCATCTGCTTTAGCCAATACGATCTGCCACAGTCAAACACCCAGTTACGTGTACTGACTTTAACCAGATCAGCCAGGAGCGATTGTGGGGCGTTTCGGTTTTGGGTGAATATGAGAGTGGGCAACTCTTTCTGAATCGACGGAGGGGCGCTGGCCTCTGCGAGACGCAAGAAGTCGTCGAAAGTGAACGGCACATAGAGTTGAGCTCCGAGGTGAACAATTCCCTGAGTCCTCGCGGCCGCGTGCAGGAGACAACCGTTCGCGACAAAATCGACGGGGATCTCGTCTACGATGTTTGCACCTGTCTCGTAACCCTCGGTGGCGTGCCAGATGTGTGTTCCCCCGCGGTCCGCAAAGAACAGGCTGGCGAATTTATTCATCGGTGTTGAATTGATGGGCCCGTATAGAGGATACGGATCCCGGATTGCAGCGCCGAAAATGGTGGGACGGACAAGCAGCAGAGGCAGAAAAGGGTACCTCTTCAACAACAACCGTTCCATGAGGTATTTTGCATGGGTATACGACGATGAAAACCGAGCGGTGTCAGGAGAGTTGCCTGCTGACAGTATGGCCGCAAGCTCATCCTCTGGATCTGCGTCGGAGATGGAATAAAGTCGCTCTCCGACATAACCGTCGGGTAAGAAGCTGCTCACATACGCCGTCGAGATCTGAACGAATAGCTTCAATCGTCTGAAGTGTGACACTATCTTTGCAAGCTCAAGAGAAGGGAGACAATTGTTCTCGATCGATTCGACAATGCCTGCGTCAAGCGTGATCGTGGCTGCCGTATGAATAACAAGAGTGACCTCTTCACGCAGTCGCCTCAACTCAGACTCTTCGATACCAAAGTCCGTCTCCTTGATGTCACCAACGACAAAATGCACCTTGCCGGTGTTGAGAATCGACTGAGTCTGGTTTGGCATTAGCCTCCGCCATTTTTCAATGGCGGAGTCCGCCGACCCGCGGATCAAAACGAAGATCTTCTGGGTAGGAAGCTGCAGTGCCAACTTGTAAAGAAGACATCCTCCCAGTGATCCAGTACTGCCCGTAAGGAACACAGAGTGCCTCGTGAAAGTCTTCGCATATCCGTTCCTCAGGATCTCGTCTACCATTGTAGCTGACGTGCTCTCCTTGCAAAACTTGTACAGATGATGTCTGAAGCGATTGCCATCCGCCGAGTCCTGGAACGTCATATTATGAGGCTACAAGCTACAAATATAAGGCGGCTAAGTTGATCAGGACGACCTTACACCGCGGTTCGGCACTTCCTCTATGTGCAGTTCACATATGATTCCATGCGTAATTCCTCTGAGTTTGAGTCGGTGCTGTAACACAGCCTAGACAGTTGTCACCTTCATGTTTTTCTTGTGGCCAATGGAGACATCCAATACCAAGGATTCGGACTGCCTCTTGAGTCAATTGGCTCCTGGAGGGGATATGTTGGATATCAAACTCAGTCCCTTTCTCAGTATGTCAACATGTGCAGCCGAGGGTATGCTTTTGTACGACCTTTATGAACTTCCCGCGTCGAGCGCGTGCTTAACGTCCGTAGTGTAGTTCTCTGCAGCATAGAGTCGTGGTGATTTCTTCAATACGCTCTTTGGCTACGACGACGAAACTAGTGGTACAGATGTCACACATGGTGACATTGTGGTGGTGAGACGTCCCTTACGACGCTGACACCGAGGCGGATATACTTTTCTCACTTCGAGACTTCACTCATGGAAAATGTTCAGTCAAACCTGAACGTTATAATCATTGAGGTCGTTACACGGTCACTTGGTTAAAATGGGTATACATGGCGTGTGCATTCCAACCGCCTCCGTGTACGCAAGTCATAAATAGTACAAAATGTATTTGCATGTGTTCAAAACTCTTCAGTGAGCTGTATGTCATGTCAAAATATACAGAAATGAGGGCTGCAATCAGGGGCTTTTGTTACCCCCTCCGCACCAGCAGCGTCCATCGCCCTCTCGCTCCACCTGGACAAGGATGTCCATGTCCTTTTCGCGGAGGTAGTTGACCGTCCGTTGTCGTACATCCTCAAGGTCGGCGCCGCGAGACGCAATGACATGAATCACCCCGAGGACGTTTGCTTTGTTTTTCTCGTGGGAATGGTCGTGGTCGTGGTCATGATGGTGATGGTGGTCGTGGTCGTGGTCGTGATTGTGTTGGTGGCCATGCCCGTGATTGTGACTATGAGAATGACTATGGCCGTGACTGTGACTGTGACTGTGACTATGGGAATGGCCATGGCCATGATGGTGGTCATGTCCCGAGGTCGTTCCTGTATCGTCTAACCAAAACTTGGGCACCGTGTACCCCGCAACTCCTCGTAGAGAGCTGACACCGGCCAACGTTTCACGAACATTGTATTCAATGTCGGCGGGAAGGGCGAGCAATAGGGTCTTAGCAGTACTGGTGACTAGTGGGACTGCCGAGGCAAAAATCAAAATGGCAATCAAACAGGAGGCGATAGGGTCGTATCCTGCCCAGCCTGAGAAGTGCACAAGAACGGTGGATATCACAACCGCCACGGAGCCAAGGGTGTCGGCTAGTATATGGAGGAAGATACCGTGCATATTCTCATTTCCATGTGAGTGTGAATGACCATGGTCGTGACCGTGGTGTGCGTGGCCATGGTCAAATGCCATGATACCGACAAGATTCACTACCAGACCAGCAACGCTGACAGCCAACAATTCGCCCAGTCGATGCATCTGACTTCCAGAGGAAAGTCGCTCCACAGCTTCGTAGATGATCTCAATACTTATGATCCTGGGTAATTGTTAGGTTTAAACTCAGTGAAAGGTGGGTTCAAATCGTACATGAGAAAAATTCCGTTGGCGAATCCGGAAAGAGTATCAACCTTTCCATAGCCATAAGGGAACCGAGCACTTGGCGGCCACTTGCTCATAACGGCAGCACAAAGGCCGACAACGAGTGCAAGGCAATCGAAGAACATGTGTATGCTGTCACTGAGCAGTCCCAAGGACCCGGTGATGAATCCGTAAGATAATTGAACCAACATAAAGGTGAAATTCAAGCTATGAAATGTCATTAGTCGTCGGTCATAAAATGCAAGAGTGTAATTGCATACGTCATGAAGTAGAATATACGGCGAGAATCCCTTTCTTTGAGGATACTGTACAACAGAGGGTAAGGTTCGCTGTAGCGAAGAAGGACCTTGGTCACCCGAGAGGCTGGAGCCACTGAGTGCCCATGATGATGATGGTGATGAGAATGGCGCTCAAGGCGTAGCCGGCGGTCATCAAATCGAGAGGCAAAGAACGACACCGCTGCCAGCGTGCACCGCGATGCGTAGACCACCCACTTATCAGCAGCTACTGGTGGCGAACATAAAATTCCCGCTGCCGCAATACCTGTAGCGAGACCCCATTTGTGCGGTGAACGCAGATTGGGCGGGTTTGAAAAGAGTAAGGATGTTGCGTAGCTACCGGCTGTCACCAGTAGGTACATCGCATCCAATGCCGACAGGGAAGGAATACCGAAGAGAACGAAGCTGAGTAGCCCAACAACGAGCCCGAGTATCAAGGTCAACATACCATCGTCCGGTGAGACGACAGATAGTGAGCCCGAATTCCGGCTTACTGAAGCGTCTGATTTCGAGGAAGCGGAGACACCAAAACCCGCCCCCTGAGACGAAGACTGGCCGACATCTGCGAATGGGGGAGGAATGACGAAGACTGACAGTAACAGGGAGATATATCCGAAGTACGACTTCGACTCATGGGAGCCAATCCAGCCGGAAAAGCTCAACACCAGAATTGTAAGTATCAGCGCAACTGTGAACTTCTTGTGGCCCAACTTTTCGCGAGCGTCGCTGCCAGCAGCGCGGCCTTTGGCAAGAGCGGGCAACCCTGATGCCGCTGCAAGAAGCAAACCCAACGCGACAAGAAACCCACTAACTTCGAGCGCTGCGTATATAGGCAGTGCAATCGAGAATATGCGAGCAAACGCTACACCTGCGATATCTGCCCTCAGATTTGGAACTTTGACCACGGATTTGTTCTCAGCCCGTGAAGACCATTGAAGCTGTCCGACACCCGTCATGACCATAGTGACAGCTGTCAGACTGCAGGTCCTTAGAACTGCCTGATCCAGACTCCCTCCGGCCAACTTTTTCGGGTCAGCTTTGTCCTTATTGGCGATATCGATATCTGAGTTCCAATTGGCATATTGATTGTAGTACCACGACAAGGCGATCCAGGGTAGAGTGGTTAGCAGTCCTGAGAAGAGTTCGCGACTAAAAGAATAAATCAGTCATCTGATCCGTCGTTTCTTTTCTTGAATCACTCACTTGGTGCTGGGTGTAGAATCGGTAGAGATGACAGGAACATCACGCGCGCGCAATTCTGTAGCATCTTCTGTCTTTTCGGTTGCATGATAATGCCCTGAATGTCCGTGGTCGCAGCTCCCTGTGTGGTTGGCTGCACCGTGCGAGTGAGAGTGGTGATGATTGTGCGATGTCGACCCTAACGCAGACCCATTGAGTGAAACTGCGTCTACAGAAGGCAGACTCGATTGCACTGAAGTCGCAGAACCATTCAAAGAAGACAGCGACTGGCCTACTGGAGGTTGTGTCCAACGCTTTGAGCGAGAGTGGCCATGGCCGCGGGAGTGTCCGAATCCATGTCCATGAGTTGCGGGGAACTGTGTATCCAGGCTGGACATGGGAGGCCCCGTTGACATGGTATCTGATTTTCCAATACGGCCTTCTTGTCAATTCGCAATTGAATGTAAGAGCAACGAGAGAGAAGGCGAAGAGGCCAAGACGTTCGACGGGGTCGTCGCGGCCAAGATCGGGGCGGAATAGGGAGCCTAGCAGCTCTCAGGGGACAGTCGGTCAGGAAAGTGGGATAAAAAACGCGGCATCGCGCCAAAAGAACGTGCACAGTCACTGCTCAAAGGAGAGGAGCAATAGTTGCCTGTAGGGGACGTTTTATAGAAAACCAATCTTGGATTGAGTGATCTTTGCGTTTCATCAGCTGCAGGTGGTAACGCATGGGTCAGGGGCACACGTGATGCGCGCCAAGATTCCCTTATCTCCCCGGAGCCCATGTATCAGCCTGAGGTATCCACGAGGGGGATCGGATTGTTATTGTGGTACTCCGCACAGCTGGTAGCGCAACGTAACAGCTTCACAGTTTGGGCCCTCTGTCATTCGCCTTTGTACTCACGACGAGGATCCTTTGCCGTCAGCAATATGCGATAAGTGGTTATCAATTTGTTTATTCAACTCATTAAAACACAATGATTGCGCGTTAGACTGGATTTCTTCGCCAACAGCACACCATGATTGAATCCCTGATCAGCGTCGCCTTCTACATCTCCACAGCGGTGACACTATTACTGTTCTTACTTCCTTCAAGATACGACCCGAGACGGTTCGACAGGTTAAAAAAGGATGCTTCCATTGCGCCCAAAACGACGACGCAGATTCTCGTCCTGGGCGATATCGGCCGCAGCCCGCGCATGCAGTACCATGCTTTGAGCATTGCGAGGGGAGGAGGCCAGGTAGACCTTATCGGTTACAATGGTACAGCTCGATCAGGTTTCCGATTCGCGAATGAGCTTATGACTGATGCTCTTTATAACACAGAATCAGAAGTGCATCCCGACATTTCGTCCAATCCTAGAATATCGATAACCGCTCTTGCGCCGCACCCGACCTTCCTGCAAACAAGTAATAAGCTCCTCTTTCTGCTATTTGGTCCGCTGAAAGTAGCCTTCCAGATTGTATGTCTCTGGTGGGCTCTAGCTTACCGCACAGAGCCTGCTCAATGGCTGCTCGTTCAGGTAAGACCCTGACCCGCCCAAATTGACTCGCTGGTATCATGTCGTCTTGCTAAAGTTGGTCCAATGCAGAACCCGCCTTCCATACCTACGTTGGCAATCGCATCCATGGCATCATTCCTCCGGCACACCAAGTTGATAATCGACTGGCATAACTTTGGGTACACCATTTTGGCGCTGAAACTCGGGGATCGACACCCACTTGTGCGATTTTCCAAGTGGTATGAGAAGAGCTTCTGTAGATACGCCACAGCGCACTTCTGTGTTACAGAAGCCATGGCTTCAATTTTGAAGAATCATTTTGGCCTCACAGCCCCCATACTGCCCTTGCATGACCGGCCAGCAAGCCATTTTCAGCCCATCTTCGATCAAAGCGAGCAGAAGAGTTTTCTTGAGTCTTTGCCAGAAACAGCCCCGGTGAAGGACCTGCTCCAGGCCGGTTCCCTTCGTGTAATAGTCAGTTCGACGTCCTGGACAGCTGACGAAGACTTCTCGTTACTCATTGACGCACTCTGCCGGTACTCGAACCTGGCAAACACCAGCAAGCCTGCGTTACCCGCTGTTCTGGCTATCATTACTGGGAAAGGACCTCAGAAGGAGATGTACCTGAAGCAAATATCAAAGCTTCAAGAAGCGGGCAAGCTCAGCAAGGTCACAATTCGCACCACATGGTTAACCACAGATGACTATGCGCGCCTTCTGGCCTCTGCTTCCCTGGGAATCAGCTTACATACCAGTAGCAGCGGTGTCGATCTTCCCATGAAAGTTGTTGACATGTTCGGGGCTGGATTACCGGTGCTTGGCTGGGATCGTTTTCAAGCCTGGCCTGAGCTAGTTACCGAAGGTGTGAACGGTATGGGGTTTGGAAGTTCTGGTGAGCTCCTCGACCACCTTGTTGATCTGTTTGAGAACCCAAGTAAGCTGGAGAAGATCCGTACTGGTGCTCGCAAAGAGAGTAATCGTCGCTGGAATGACGAGTGGGATCCCATAGCTGGAAAACTATTAGGCCTCGCATAAAGCGCCCATTATTTCCATCGGTATTCACTTAAGCCAGCTTTCTTCCCCTTCTGGGCAGCTTGAGTTTTATCTGAATGTAGGCCTTAGGCACGAAACTTGCCCCCACAGTATATGCACGTGTCAAAAACGTTAGAGAGTTTCTTATAAGCGCTTTGGAGTTCACTCTCGTGGAGCTGAGAGAGGGCATCCTCATTGAGGTATTCTGTGCTGCAGTCGGAGCAGAACTTGGATACTCCCGGCTCTTGAATAGAGAAGAATGAGAGACTGCAACGAACTATGCAAGACATTCAGTTCAATTGTGCTTCACGTTTGGCAGGAAGTATTCATGGGCTTACCGAATAGATGGCCGCCTGCACACTGTGCTTCCCGTGCTGAATACCAAGCTATTCCAGCTTCGCATATATCGCACTTTTCAAAGATGTGCCCGCCAGCGCCGTTGAGCTGCTCTACGGACTTTGCTTCGAGTTTATTCTCAGGCGAGGAACATTTTGTTAGCTCCTCAAGCAAATCAACTCCGGTAGCAGTCGCAAGCCACTCGAAGACCTCTTTAGCTTGTAGGAGTAAAGACTCATCCTGGGATTCCACAAGAGCACAACAGGCAGCCGTATACACAAGTTTCTGGTACCAAGGGTTCCTGTTATCATAGTCCAGAGAACTCAATGTGAAGCGCAGCACCACCTCGCGTCTCAGGCGCAAGAAGTCTGACGTGAATACCGGCAACTCGCGAAGGATTGACGGTGTGTGTTGTTGCTGATGTAGGTTTGCTTTGGAGAAAACAATGATGGTACGCTCCTGCGAGCCAGTGCGGTACTCAATCATGTCTCCGGGGTGGAGAGTAAATGCGACAGCAATGAGTCCACCGTATGCTGCCAGTCCCCAGATCCTCCCGATCGCTAGTCCTCCGAGATCATGGTCAATATCGAAGCTCTCCCGCATAGCATCAAACTGGCTTTTCCAAGGTGGCGGCGAGAGAAGGCCGTCATCCTGAGCATCAGTGAATTCAATTAATTCCTTGGTTGCAGCATGTCCCCCGGAGGTGCCCAAATGAAGTGAGGATAGGTTGGACTCGTCATCACTTGCGACTGTCATGGCTATGTTCTATTAGTAAAGCAGATCAGATTGTATTAATGTGTCGCGTACCACTGATAGATTCCCAATGCCTTGCTTCCGGTTCCTCGAAGGTGGTGTCGGTGTTTTCAAGCAGGGGATATTCTCTTGTTCGAACTCTTCCAGATGATGTCTCTCTGCCCTCATATACGGCGCGAGGGAGGCTCATCACCATCAGAGCTCCTATTGTAGTCACAGCTAGGCCAATTTCCCCAGACTCTGCCTAGATATACGTGAGTTCGAGGTATCAACTAGTGTTACTCGGAGACTTACTGCTTGAAGCCACTCAAGAGGGCCGCGGTAGACGCGTTCGCCAGCATCTTTGCTAGATAGATCTGGGTTTTCCGATGCGGTTGCCTGCAAATCCCAGCGAGAAGGAGTCTCTGAGTCTTCGCCATCTCGTCGTAGGTTTATATCGAGCCTGATCAGCTTGATTTTGGTACCATAAGTGGCGGCTGCATTTCCTATCGCATGACAAACGTCCGGTGCTGTCTCAATTTGCTTGAGGAGCCAGGGACCACATGACAGGCCCGTGATCCTCATTTTTGACTTCAAGGACGTAGCCAGGATCGATCCGGACTGGACTATAGGATACTTTGCCGCAGGATCATGCACTGAGATGATCGAGATTATATCAAAAGAATAAGAAGAGGGAGCCGAACCAGCTTCTGCTCTCTGAACGTGCAGGAAAATCAGGTCATTGTCGTCATTAGCAACTGTAAGTATTTGAAACCCCCATCTGCTTTCCGCTGGAGGGACGGAATCGTTTTGGCCCTGCGGTACCTTTAAAGGCGGACACCACGCGAAATCCCTAATGTTAGTCTTCCTCATTTGCGGACCCTCATCGTGGATGAACGAGTTGAAATGTGCTGCTAAGGCATTGTTGACGATGGCAACTCGCATCCATTTTCCATCAACGAGTTGATAGAATGATAGTACCAAATTAGAAGTCAGCACTGCAAGAGTGCACCGCCTGTGTCTGGCGAGTCCTGGTGGTGACCAGGACAGACTGACAACTGAGCTCGGCGAGAGTTCGACCCCAATTGAGAAATCATCCCTGTTCTGAGGGAAAACTGTAGGCCACTCCCTGTTAGTGAACAGATTGGCGCGAAAACGGGTGATATGCCATTCTGGTTCACATTTTGGGTGATCAGAGTTATTTTCTTCTTTCCTATGCGTTGGTTTCTTCGGCGTCTATTTGACGTGAGTTTTATTCAAGGAGTACGTAGTCAAGGTGGTGACGGAGCATACTAGAATCTGAACATATTCACCCGCGGCCAGAGCGATCTCACCATCTGCTGACCAGGCAAGGCAATTATAGCAGGAAGGCGAGACGGTTAGCTCGACTTGATCGAACATCGCTATCGGGATCCGGACCGAGAGCGCTGTCCGTCAAGAGACTATATGGATAGCAAAGCGAGCTCTTGACGGACCTAATTAGTGCAGTTACTCTCACTATTTTTAAAGCAATTGGTCACTGTAGTAAAGTCTGAACAATAGCTGGGATGTCATCGTTTCAACTATTCTCAATTTAGCCCCCATCTGGACGGTGTGCCTTACTGCTTTCGGTAAGCGTTATATTAGCATCTCACGTGATGATGCTTATACAATCATGCATACAAAACTGCAACATGATTCATCAATTTTCAATTCTCATCCATATATATATACAATCATAGCATGCTAAGAAATACTGGTCAGAGCGTGGGTATAATCATGGCGTGTCGCTTTTGAGGTGACCAAGAACTTTGTGAACAGAAGGACCAATAGAACGTTAATCAACGGCCTCTGGCTCAGTCGACCCGATCCAGCTTCTGAACAACCATTGCAGTTGCAGCACCACCGCCGTTACAGATAGCAGCCACACCGTACTCTCCAGGCTGCAATTGATGGAGAAGAGTGACCAAAATACGAGAGCCAGAGCTTCCCAGGGCGTGTCCCAGGGAAATGGCTCCTCCAAGAGGGTTGACCCTAGCATTCTGCAGACCGAGAATCTAATGAATAGTTAGCAAAAAGACAGGATCAGACAGGGGTCTATAAATGTATTCAGACTCACCTTCTCGTTAGCCTTGATGACAGCAGCAAAGGCCTCGTTGAACTCCCAAACCGCGACCTGATCCTTAGTGATACCTGCCCGCTCGAGGGCGACGGGAACGGCCTTGGCTGGGGCAACGGGGAAATCCACTGGATCGATGGCGGCATCTGCGGTAGAGACGATGCGCGCAAGAGCCCGGTTACCCTGAGCGAACTCACGTGCAATAGCTTTGCTGCCCAGGACGAGCGCCGAGGCACCATCATTCATGGTGGAAGCATTGCCAGCGGTCACTGTGCCGGTGCCATCCCTCAAGAAGGCTGGTTTCAGTGTGGTCATCTTATCAATTCGAAGGTTCTCGTAGCCCTCATCACGTTCAATGACTGTCTCTCCCTTCTTGCCTTTGACGGTAACAGGGGCGATCTCCTCGGCGAATTTATTCTCCTTCCAAGCTGCTTGCGCTCGCTGATACGACTGAATGGCGTACTGATCTTGTTCCTCGCGCGAAATCTCATACTTCTTAGCTGTTTTTTCAGCGCATATGCCCATGTGGAACTGGTTGTAGACATCCCACAAGCCGTCCTGGATCAGACCATCCTGTAACTTGATTTCTCCGAAGGGTGGCAACTGGGTGGATCGAGGCAAATAGTAGGGCACGCGGGACATGTTCTCCATACCACCTGCAACCTGGGCCTCGGCCAGACCGAGTTGAATGTTTTGAGCGGCGAGGGCCACGGCTTTGAGGCCGGATGCGCACACTTTGTTTACCGTCATGGATTCCACCGTAGGAGAGAGTCCGGCGAACATGGAAGCCTGGCGAGCTGGCGCTTGACCAACTGCACCCTGAAGAACATTGCCCATGTACACATCGGTAATCTTCTCAACAGGAACGCCAGATTTGCTCACGGCGGACTTGATGGCAACTGCACCCAATTCGGGAGCGGATACCGAGACGAACGATCCGTTGAACTGATTTGAGTCGTTAGTTGATAAAGAAGACGGCGAGGGGTGATCTGTAAAAAGCTTCACCTTAGCAGTAGGTGTTCGAGCACCACTGAGAATGTAAGCCTCCTGAATCTCTTTCAGAGCTGAACGAGAAGCACTGAAGTTTCGTCGAGATGCGGGGAATGTGGCGCGTTTGGCGACCAGACGGGCTGCCAACCCAGTTGTTGTTTGAATCGTCATGGTGAGGGAGTAGAGGTACTATAAGGTGATTATGAGGGTGCTTCAGAAACAGGAGAATGAGAGAAGGAGTACAGTATGAGGAGATGGAGGTGGATGAAGCGGAAATGTTCTGCTGGCTTACTGCAACTCGCCTCTGGTGTCCTCCCCCGATCTCCGCAAGATATTCCGCATATAGCCGCGCTCCCGCAACCGAGGCTGTTTGGACACTGTCCGTAATCACATGACCATGCCTCACATGACCTGAATTTCACATGATGTCCCTGATGTGCTTACTCAGCAGTGGCGTTTCAAGCTATACGTGAAAAGCTAGTTTCTCCATACGGAAAGTTTTACCGTTCTGGGACCCGGATGGCAAAGAGGGAACAAACGGCACGTCCAGCTAAGCAAGAGGGGAATCCCGACCCTACGAAGACCGAACGGTATTGGATCAACGCTTCTCCTCCCGCTCTTGTGAGCGCTTCTCATCCAGAAGGATCCATATCCCACTGCTATCTCAACTTCTCTTGTGGCATATCCCTCTCGACCTTTTTGTATACAATCACGTCTCTTACTCTCCAATCTCAACAGCTCCAAGACGTGTGGTTTACTTGCAGTCTGTAAAGCCTATTCTGATAGCTCCTACCGGTCGTAGCACCCGCCGCCATGTCTACTTCTGCCCGCCGTCGTCTCATGCGTGACTTCAAGGTACGTGATTATTGAAGGCCATTGACTCTGACTCAGTTCGTTGTCACCTCTTTTCTCCATGTATTTCTATTTCGTCCTTGCACATTTTTTGCTTGTTCTACCCTGTAACTCAGCTACCAGGCTATGTCTCGTGAGCTAACTCTGATTTATGATCACAGCGCATGCAGACTGACCCTCCTGCCGGCGTCTCGGCATCTCCAGTAGCTGACAATGTCATGACTTGGTGAGTTCTTCATTCTTCTCGATTCATCCGTACATCTGAAGAATGTGGTGATGGAGTGACTGACATATCCGTCTGTAGGAATGCCGTCATCATTGGCCCCGCCGATACCCCGTTCGAAGATGGTACATTCCGCTTGGTCATGCATTTCGAGGAACAATACCCCAACAAGCCGCCAGGTGTCAAGTTTATCAGCCAGATGTTCCATCCTAATGTCTATGGTACGGGGGAGCTTTGCCTTGATATCTTGCAGAACCGCTGGAGCCCAACCTATGACGTGGCGGCCATCTTGACTAGTATTCAAAGGTATGTTGAATGTTATTCCACAACATACTAGGCACAGTGATTCTGATGTCATACCTTATGAAGTCTACTAAACGACCCCAATACGTCATCTCCGGCGAATGTGGAAGCATCGAACCTCTACAAAGATAACCGAAAGGAATATATCAAGCGCGTGCGTGAGACAGTCGAGAAGAGCTGGGAAGACTAGTTTACTCTTAGCAGAGGAGTTGTTGAGCTCAGTTCTCTCAAGCCGGTAGTTATTGTTCCTTGTTTTGGATCGGTCAACAGGAACAATGTCGTTCACCCGGGAGTCACAAGGGGACGTTTACGACTCTGTCGGGTTGTTGATCTGAATGTTCTGGCCATGTTCGTATTTGACTTCCACGTTTTGTTGACGATATGCACAGCGCGGGGTTTTTGGCGCCTGGTGAATCATTTATTTTTGCTGGTTGTGTGGGTAGCTGCATCGTTTATTTCTGCCTGCATAATGCATGAGCCTTTCTTGTCTTTGAAGTCCTCCGATTCTGCTGCCTGCTCTTCCGTCTTAAAGTGAGCGTAGTCATTCTTCTCTCCGTACAGGAAAATGTAGGTCTAGATAGATAGAGCTGAAAGAAAAGCGTCGAGCATGTGTGGTCGACTGGCGGCCTTTTGGTGGTAGCGGGACGAGTGTTTCTCTAATGTTCTTAGGCCGGCGCCAAGCCACATCCTCAAACGACTGGTGTCGAAGCATTCCTGCGACTCTAACATATTGATCCTCACGCTACTCTTCCTTGCTCGATCAGCAGTGAGTCCTAACCCGCATCACAAGCTCGTGGTGGTGTGTGCGTGCGGACTTGCTTTCCTCAACCCATCCTTCTGTCACTGTTTTGGGGTGAGGACATCGCGTGTTCCTGGCTGCCGTCTCGCACGTGGACCCCTGACCCAAACATCCCACCGACTCTACGCAGCTGGTCAACAGATCGAAATTCGGCTCTGAACGAAAGCCTAGGAATTACCCGCCTCCCCTCGGGGCTGTCCCTCACCTCTAGGTTCTCTTTCTGGTGGTTCTTGAGGTTTGAGTCGGAGCAAACATGGCGTGAGTATTCTATCAACTGTCGCTTGAAACAGTGCGGAGAAGTCTGATGATAGCCTGGCATGACAGATCATCTGGGCCCGGCTCCAACACCATCAAGGGTTTGTATGCTCCGTCCGAATACATATGTTCGAAGATACTCACCGGTAGTGCATAGTCGTTGCGAGATTCCGACCGCAAAACAAAGTCGAATTAGCGTCTGGAGGAGAACCGATTGTTGAGTTTGAAAATGAGCAGTCATGTAAAATCAACGTGAGTCTCCTTTCAAGGCTGAAGGAAGGCAAGGTTTGGTGGCGCTTGAAGATATTGACCAGCGAGCGATAGTCCAGGGAAGGCTCAGGAGCCTTCACCTTCGATCGAGTTTTTCCCATGGACTCGAAACAAACGGACATTTTCGACTACTCGATCCGCCCTACAGTCGACGATATTCTGAACGGTTACAACGGTACGGTCTTTGCTTATGGTCAAACAGGTGCGGGAAAGTCTTATACAATGATGGGCTCCGATATCGATGACCCGGAGGGCAAGGGTATCATTCCGCGTATTGTCGAGCAGATCTTCGCAAGCATTCTCACCAGCCCGAGCAACATCGAATATACGGTCCGAGTCAGCTATATGGAAATTTACATGGAACGGATCCGCGATCTCCTGGTGCCACAGAATGACAACCTGCCTGTCCACGAAGAGAAGTCGCGAGGTGTCTACGTCAAAGGTCTGCTCGAGGTTTATGTCTCCAGTGTGCAGGAAGTCTACGAAGTGATGCGACGCGGTGGTGCGGCAAGAGCGGTGGCTGCGACCAACATGAATCAAGAATCCTCTCGATCCCATTCCATCTTCGTCGTCACTGTCACCCAGAAGAATCTAGAGACGGGCTCCGCAAAGAGCGGCCAGCTTTTCCTAGTGGATCTCGCTGGTAGTGAAAAAGTCGGCAAGACTGGCGCCAGTGGTCAAACCCTTGAGGAGGCCAAGAAGATTAACAAGAGTTTGAGTGCTCTTGGTATGGTCATCAACGCGCTGACAGATGGCAAATCGACACACATCCCTTACCGTGACTCAAAGCTCACTCGAATTCTACAGGAGAGTTTGGGTGGTAACTCTAGGACGACCCTGATCATCAATTGCTCTCCCAGTAGCTATAACGATGCGGAAACGATCTCAACGCTGCGATTCGGTGTGCGCGCGAAGGCAATCAAGAACAAGGCGAAGGTCAATGCTGAGTTGAGTCCAGCTGAACTTAAGCAACTACTTCGCAAAGCGCAGACCCAGGTCATCAACTTTGAGAACTACATTTCAGCCTTGGAGAGCGAAGTTCAAGTGTGGAGAAGCGGCGAAACAGTTCCCAAGGACCGTTGGACACCAGCCAGGGGCTCAGAAGCCGTCAGCGCGGCCAAGGCTGAAGCTCGTGCAAGTGTTACGCGGCCTGGCACTCCTTCTCGACTGCAAGACACCCCCCGATCAGAGACACCACGACCTGATTCAAGATTCGGCGACCGATCTAGCACCCCCAGCCTTGTGCTCGAGAAAGATGAACGGGAGGAATTCCTACGGCGGGAGAATGAGCTCCAGGATCAAATCGCCGAGAGAGAATCCCACATTGCGAATGTGGAGAGGAGCTTGCGCGAAGCTCGAGAGGAACTCAAGAACCTCAAGGAGAACTCAGCACGCTCTGGCAAGGACAATGAGAAACTCAGTGCGGAGGTCAACGAGCTTCGGATGCAGCTGGAGAAGGTTTCCTACGAGGGCAAGGAAGCCTCGATCACAATGGACAGCCTCCGGGAAGCTAATGCTGAGCTAACCGCGGAGCTGGACGATGTCAAGCAGCAACTCCTTGACGTGCGAATGAAGGCCAAGGAGACCAGCGCGGCGCTCGATGAGAAGGAGAAGAAGAAGGCGGAGAAGATGGCGAAGATGATGGCTGGTTTTGACCTGGGAGGCGACGTTTTCTCTGACAATGAGCGGAAACTTCAGGACCTTATACAGCGGGTGGATGCATTGCACAAGGTCAGCGAGGCTGGCGAGCCAGTTGCCCCTGATGACCTCCTGGAGTTACGGACCAGCCTGATGGAGACTCAGGGATTCATTCGGCAGGCTGAGCTTACCATGAATGATCGGGGTGAATTGAGCGAGCTGCAGGACAGCCGCAGACTTGAGTTGGAGCAGAAGCTGGCCGACCTCGAGCGGGACTATGAGAGCCTTCTGGAGCGCAACCTTGGCGAAGGTGATGTCGAAGAGATCCGCGAGCGGCTGGAAAAGATTTATGTGACCCGGAAGGAGACCGAGATGCAGGCAGCGGCGGAACTCCGTAGCGAGATTGCACGCAAGGATGAGGAGCTGGCCAAGCTGCAGCAGTCCCTTGCAGATTCCCAGTCTAAGGCGTCGACTAATGGCGCCACCGGCAAGAACCTGCAGCAGCAGATCGCCGAATTCGATGCGATGAAGAAGTCCCTGATGCGCGACCTGCAGAACCGTTGCGAGCGAGTGGTGGAGCTTGAGATCTCGCTGGACGACGCTCGAGAACAATATAATAACGTGCTGCGCTCATCTAACAACCGTGCCCAGCAGAAGAAGATGGCTTTCTTGGAACGCAACCTGGAGCAACTGACTCATGTACAGCGGCAGCTGGTGGAACAGAACAGCAGCCTAAAGAAGGAGGTCGCCATTGCGGAGAGGAAGCTGATTGCCAGAAACGAACGGATTGCGAGTCTTGAAGGCCTCTTGCAAGAGAGCCAAGAAAAACTTACTCAGGCAAATCATCGGTAAGTCCTCCCCCATTGAATTGCTCGGCGATAGGAAAGATAAGGTTGGCTAATATCCATATCCCCACCCACAGGTTTGAGGCTCAACTCACTGCTGTTAAAGAGAGACTGGAGGCTGCGAAGCAGGGTTCGACTAGGGGTCTTCCGTCTATGGATGGCAGCGGCGGTTTCAGTTTTGGCGGCTCGAGAATCGCGAAGCCGCTCCGGGGTGGTGGTGGTGGAGGGCCAGAGAGCAGTGCTCCGGTCGCAGGAGTCCAGTCGCAGGAGAGCGGAAAGCGCACGAGCTGGTTTTTCGATCGACGATGATCCACGATTTCTCTTTTGCTGTTTGTTCTACCCTTCCTCCGAACATATCTGATTGTCTTTTCTTTTTTGTTTTGTGCAAACAATCCAGCAGCCTTTGTTGAGAACCCGTTCTTATCATCTTTCTTGGTGTCTAGATATCCTGCCGCTTGTTCTGCTCTCCTATCTCTGTGATTTGGCCGATGACGAAGTCTGTTCCACTGTGCTCATGACGTTGCTCTTTTTCTGTTCTGTCTCGTTCTTGCATCGCTGGTTACACTTAGATTCCGAGCCACCGGCGAGCCCATGCGAGGAGAGGCCTCCGGTTCTCCTGATACCCTTGTATACCAGACAGATAGAAAGCACCTCGGGAGGGGGAAGGGACGGTTTGGAGATGAATACATAGTAAGTAGACGAATTTCACCGGATGCTGATAGAAGATACGGTCTCAGTAGATTATTACTTCGCGAGGAGAATTCTGTGTATCCAATCCGGCTGTTTCTCAGGCCTATAGTATCTAAGCAGGATCTATGCCAATAAGGAATGCAACAAATGCATGAATATATATAAATAGAACATTAATGAACAAAATGGGTATCAATAAGATCAAATTTGCCAAGCTTGCAAGGCAAAGACAAAACGATGGTGTCTATTCCAATAGTGTGACCCTCACGCCGTCCATGCCCATGGTCGTCACAAGCCGGTCCATCATGTTCGATGTTGGCGGCTCACGGGTTTGGGGGGAGATCAAAGACCGTACGACCAGAGTCGGCTTGCGTGACATGCCCGGCGATTTGGGCGGTGTAAGCGGCGATTCGTACTCTTCGCTTTTCGGTTCAGAGACACGATCAGGAATTCCATCAGACAGGGTGCGGTTTTCCTCCTCGATAGCCGCGCGCTGTTTCTCATCCATAGCGAGAATTAGATTGTTAAGGATGACGAGCGCGGAGCGAATGCCCCGGACATAGAGGCCGGAGAAGCCATCGAAGAAAACGAAGGGGAGCGGGCCGATGAATCCCTGCTGCTCGTTCTGCCCGGCTCGAACCGTCGAAATGGCGACGCCGAACTCGGTGTGGATGCCGCGCAGTGCGGCCCGCGCGGCCAGAACATCCCGCAGCAGAGCTGGTTGTAGCGAAGCTCTCTTTCTCGATGGCAGGGCGAGCAGCTCCCGGACCCGTTTTACGTACCCAGGTACCTTGGAGATCTCGCTGAAACCGCGCTCCGCGACGTCGGTGTAGGCGGATGAGTCGGGCCGTCGCGCATTGTCGGCGGCAATCTGTCTGTTCAGGTCCTGCCATTCTGGTGCCTGGAGAAGACATTCCTCGCCGGACAGCAGAGCAGCTGTCACCATCAGGTTCCGGTAGACGATGTACATGGCCCGCCCGAATCCGTGGAGGTGCGCCTGCGGACCGCGCAGTCGCATCATCGTCTTGATCCCCGCAGCATGTCGCAGCCACGCGTCGGGGTTTGTGCAGTTTTGTACCTCGAAGCAGGCCAAACAAATTGCGGTGGCTAGCGCCTCGTCGGAGGTGGCTCTCGAGGCGTTCGATAGCATAGCTGCTAGGCCGCGGAGAGACCGTGTGTACATCGCCCTTGCGGCGTCCGTGTACCACGGGTCGTTGTGCAGAGCGCCGGTGTATGCAGTGGTGCTGGCGCGGAGAGCCCAGTCGAAGGGGGTGTTCATTGATCCGCGCCGGCTGTGGACATAGGCAACCCAGTTTATCGGGACGCGATTCACGGTGCACATGAAGTAGCAGGGGAACGCAGTGAGCACGTAGTTCGTGAAGACTTCGGTCTGCTGGGAGGACGCGGCCACGGCGATCAATGAGGGCGATGCAAGCTCGTCGATCGAAGGACAAGAGGTCGTTTGCGAGGCATTGGAGATGCGGGAGACAGCCTTGGTGAGGCCTTTGGGTTTGTTGCGAGGGTGGAGTGTCGAGGAGGACGAGGACGAGGATGTCAACTGGTGGCCTGTCTGCAAGGCTGGCAGTTCGTGAAACCCCAGAGTCGTCGCATGACCGGTACAGAGGAGATTGAGGTCTCTGCAGCGCGAGCACGGTGATTGACCGGCGCACTGGAGCAGGATTAGGACAAAGTCAAGCCAGTGACCATAAAAACAACTTCCAGAAGATGAGGATCATCGAAGACTGCATGAACATGGACAGCGCGATATGGGAGTACCTAGCGCCCGGTTACGCTTTGAACAGAAATGGGCCATGGGGGAGGCATGATAGGCAGAATTGCACAAGAATGCACAAGAACACATATAGGATCAAGCAATCATAATAATGAAGGTCATAAGGCAGTGTGGTTGGAATGGAGTCCAAGCTGACAAGGACCTGACTAACCTGGGCTCGAGCATCAATACAATTATGACAGCCATGTGGCACCGCGGCCATGCTCGTCACTAGGACATCAAACCAATTTCCGCAGGCTTCGTATTCGGAACACTCGGCATGAGGAGCTGCTCTGCGCGAATGCTTGATTATCGGTCTTGGAATGGTCGTACGGGGGGTGTCAGTGTGCCAGTGTGGTCCAAGACGCCCAGCACTCTACTCCGTAAGGAGGAATAGTAAGAAACAGGCTAGAGCGCCATTTAGGAGCGGTGGAGATGGCCACCAATGAGACACTAGTGGTCAACTCGGAGCCAAGCGCGTTCGCCGTAAGAGGTTAATAAAATAAGACGATCGAGGCAAATAAACAAAAGGCCTAAATTCAAGTCGAAATTACTGTTGCAATCAGAACACTTGGGATGAATTCGGTTGTAAACGAAGTACACTCGATAGTTATATCCGCTTCAAAAGCATATGGCATAGTTCACTATTCTAGGCTCGCACGCTAAAAGCACAACCCACATCCACGGCAATAAACAGTCGTCAAAACAGTCGGAGAGACCAACGGCTCTGCTAAAATCCTGTACATGAAACGAAGAATTATGCCACGAAATCCGCCCTTGTTTCAGGGAAGACGCATGATCCAACCACCGAAAGGAAGACGTAGCAAGCAACCCGAAAGAGAAGAGAGGTATATCCACCGTGATTTTGACTTTTTGTTTTTTTCCATGTACAGAAGAGCAGAAGCAAGGAAAAAAGGAAAGTTACAAAAACTGAAGCCTTGTCTACCAAGCCCTCGTATAAGAGTACGTTGGCAGATGCAAGTAAGTGATCACGGGCTGTGGGAATCCTAAAAAAGAAATATAAGCAACAAATACCGGCAGAAGACCAAGAAGATAAAAAGCAGATGGGAGTGAGCCATGCTTGATGAGGAGAACCTCGAATTTGCGCCGCATTCGCCAAAGGTAAGAGGATGCACGACACTATGTGCGGGAGGACACGTCGTCCGCGCGCACTTATACCAATCCATCATAGAGGGACAAGGCGCTGACAATGGTCTCGTCGCGTTTGCTGCCCTCCTTGAATTCCTCCATATCCAGGCTGCCATTCTCATCCTTGTCCATCATGCGGAAGATCTTCTTCACTCGTTTCTCCGGTGTGTCTTCGTCCTCGGGTAACTTGACCATGGAGCCGACCTGTACTCGCGCCGTTAGCTGGAGTCCGTCCGCGAGAGAGCCAGTCACTGTGAGATCGCACCATTTTGTAAATCGCTTCAACAATAGCCAGCATCTCGTCGTAGGTAATCTTTCCGTCACCGTCGATGTCGTATAGTTGGAATGCCCAGTCCAGCTTGTCCTCCATCTTACCCCGCGAGGTCACCGACAACGCACAGATGAACTCCTTGAAATCGATCATGCCGCTATTATCCGAGTCGAATACTCGGAATACATAATTTGCGAACGAGGAAGGATCGCCAAAGGGAAAGAATTGTCGGTAGATCTTCTGGAATTCCTCCTTTGTCAGGGTCCCCGAGGGGCAGTCCTTCAAGAAACCTACCCCGCCATGCCACGGTCAGCGCACTTGAATCCCCTCCGGCTTGGGATCGCCGCTGCTCACTCTTCACACACCTTTATACCATTGTTGCAGCTCTTTTTTATCGAAATGTGTCGCCCTCTGGAGCTCTTCGAGCTGGGAGGGGGAGAGCTTCGACTGTCTATGTGGCCAGTTGTCGTTAGCTTATATCCCTAAGCGGGGATGCTTTCCCCAACTATAACGATAATCAAGAAGAAAACATTAATGTAGGTCCGTCGAGACGATAGACCCTAGTTTCTAAACCATATAGTCCTCGACCCCGTGGGGAAAGCAAAGTCCATAGCCTGGCGGGTTGTAACCCCGTCTCACCACTCCCCTGATGCGCGGAACGACAAACAAGCGCAGTACTCACGATTTACCCATGATCAAACAAACTTGCCACACACACTATCAAGGATAAAAAAGTAGCTCTTGGCCTTTACAAGGACAAGCGAGGCTCAGCGCTCCGAAATCTTATGCGACGGCGGTGGAAAGACGGAAGCACGGAAGACGCGGGGTAAAGCGAGGTTTGCTTTGATAAGATCGTGTGCTGCTTGGCCAAGAGAGGGTGAGAGCTAAGGAAGTATAGACGACTGACAGAGAGGCTAATAACGGATGATATAGGAACAAAAACCTAGTGCAGTAATAAACTTGATAGTTGAATGGTTCGGGTTCCAGTCGGAGAAACAGACTGTCGTAGTGTCGTAACTGGCTGTAATTCTTCCCGATTGTGATGGAGTCAGTCAAGCCGTCAAGCGTGGGCAGTCCATCGGTCCAGAACAGGTCGTCGGCTTGGCGCGCAGACGGCAGGATGGGAGGAAGCTCCACTATGCATCATGGATAATTCATGCAGGGTATTATCATTTTTATCATCAGAAGATATCTAGTATTATTCTAGTTCCGATTCTCGAACTCGGGTCTTGATGGCTTCCGTACCTATTATAGCTCCCGATCAGATTGACTTTCTATCGATAACACCTTGATGCGGAGAAGAATCCCCTCCAAGCTCAGACCCTGTGCGCCTTGAACAGTCTATAATATATATCTACATTTCGTTATCGTACATCGCCTGCTCATCTCGACTCAAATCAATAATCGCACCAACGCCCCGTTGTCGTTCCTCCGCCATTGCCTCGGTGACTAAGTAGCTTGAAGCTGACCCAAAGATATGTACAAAGTCCTGGTTGACGTCATCGGCTTAGAAGAACATGATAGTAGTGGAATATGAATGTGTAAGAACAATTGAAGCACGAAGATATCGGTAGTAAGCGTAATGATCAGACAGACTTTTTATACTTTGGAGTCCGATCATCGCGTCTGGACCGTTCCATTGTACGTGTATTCAACTGTTCGGCAACGGGATCTCCCGTCCGAAGACCGAGAAGAAATGCATGTTGTGCTGATTCATCGATTGGAAGCGCGGACTACCTGCTAATTATGACTTCGAATGGCATGAATAATGTACGAAGTTTAGTCGACCTTGATCGAGCCGTAGATGCGTTGCACAAACGCCCAGCTGGCGAAGAATCCAATCGAACCTGTGCAGAATGAGTCAGAGACCACCTCAAAACCCCCCAGCCTGTTTCATGGACGAAAAACATACCTGTTAAGATGAAGACCAGGAAACCAATCAAGGCAGAGTAACCGACATAGAGGACTGCCCCTGTGAGTCCACCGAAGCTCACTCGAGTGATCCAGAAAATAAAGGCATTGATGAAAACGTAGAAGCCCGTCATTCCGGCTCCAGCGAAAGCCCTCCAATGCCACCGGTAGTTTTCAGCGCACAACAAAAAGTAAACCAACAGGACCGTGGTGGCCGCAGTGGTCATGATCATGAGTCCATAACAGAGGAAGAGGAATCCGAACATGTAGTAAATCTTGCTCGTCCACAAAGAAGTCATGATAAAGTACAGCTCGACAAAGATAGCGCCAAACGGCAAGATGCCCGTAAGTAGCAAAGAAGGGATTGTCCGAAGGCTTCCAGTCATGGGAGGAATTTGTCTCGGAATTTGGTTGGTCTTCGTTGGACCTTCGATTGCCTGAAAACACAAGTCAGCAGATGCTCGTCAGAGGGCTGAGGAAGAACATACTCGTTGCTTGAAACCAAGCCAGCTGCCTGCCACACTTAATGGCACACTGATGACGAACCAAATGAGGACCAGGGCAAGCATGGTTGTGAAAGGTACGGCTCCACTAGAACCCTTGGCCCAGACAAACAGGTTCAGCAGGAAAAAGGTACCAAAGATAAGCCCAGGAATCAAGACCGGAGTCAGGATGATGTTGCGCTTCCAAGCTTCGCCACCGAATGACTTGTATACCCGAGCCGAGACATAGCCTCCGACGAAGCCAAAAAGGGTGTAAATGAGGAGGATGGCAGTGGCCAAGAAACCGCGGTTGGCTGGTGAAAGAAGACCAAAAAGCGCGAAGACTTTGACAGAGTCAGCATTCCCTTCGCACATCGGGGAACCTTAGGTAAACCTACCAACTGTCACACCAGTCATCATGAAAAGTTGAGCCCCGTTGCCGACAAGCACACTGAGGAGCAGAGGAGACCTGGGGCATCGGAATACATCGCCGTGAACCAGCTTCCAACCGGAATCCTCTTGAATTCCGTCCTCAATAGCAGCTGACGTGCCATCCAAGTCTTCGAGATTGATCATGTCCAGGCGGTTGTAACGAGCGATGTCTTTCCTGAGAGCCCTCAGAAGGATCATACTCACCATACCGACCAAGAAAACCACAAATACGGCAGAGTTGATGAGTGAAAACCAATGGATCTTCGGATCGTAAACGTGCAAGTACTTGTCCCAGCGAGTAGCCCAAGGAGTGGGCGATTCGCGCCAGTACACGCCATACGTCCAAGTGACTGGAGTCTCGCCATCTTCGCTCAGAATTACAGCGGCGTCGTCGGAGCCGCACTCCACTGTTCCATCTTCAAGGACTCTGGAATCACGCCGGGACGCCGGTTGAACGAGCACACCGACAACCCGGTACTTGTCCTTGCTGCCGAACCCTACACGGTGATAGTCAATGACGATATCATAGTGGTTGTTCAGCATTGCCTGTCCATCATCATTCAGAGTGCCGAGCGCAAAACCGGGACTGTAGAACTTGGACTGGGTCACTGCGTCCAGATTCAACTGAGCACCGGGAAGCCCATCCACCAACCAGTTCATATTATAGCCCTGAGCTATCCTTCTGTTGACAAATTTGGCGCTTCGCGAATCGAACTTGACTTCTCCACAAACAGCCTTGCATGATTCATTCTTGCCCATGAACAACTCAAACGGCGATGTCTGGATTCGATCACCGAAAAGAATGCTACCTAATGACTCGCGAACATATTTCGGTCCATCTGCCGGACGACAAAAGTGAAATGCGGTATGATAGTAGTCGTAAGCGAAGACGGAATGCAGTTGTTCGTCTTGTTGCGCTAGTCCCGGGGTAAGATGGTTGACGTAGAGCGGCACAGCTTGGCCTTCATCGTATGAAGTTGGTGCTACACCAGGAAGGTAAAAGGCTGCGGATAATGAAGGAGCTGTGAGGAGAAAAGTAGATATCGTTAACCGTTTGTCGAGCCGCATATTGGGCGTTTCCGGAGGTAAAAGGGGACAATCAGCTCAGGTGTCGGTCTAGAATAAACGGGCGAAGCCTAAAGCGGATAACGATGGCTCATAAAGTACTTGAACTGAACCATAGATCGAACAACTCGCGCACCGTGAAGATGAGGCCCTACTCAGAAGATCATGTATGGGAGAGTGGGCAACAGATGAGGCCAACAGGCTGAAAGGATTACAATTGTTGGGAAAGCTGGAGAATAGGTAACAAGCAGTGGTTACTCCGTACGAGCTTTGGTTACCTGGACTTTCCGCAGCGCCAGCTAATCCGCAGTCTTGGCACACGTGATAGTTGTCCGATCCCCAAGCAACCGGTTAATCATCACGTGCCGATAAGATTTGGGGTGATCGAAAAATTTCCCTCAAGATCTTTTACCGCAGTCTAGAGGAATACGCAGGTTATATAACTGTTCACATTACAATGGCGACGGCGGCGGCTCAAACAGAGCCTTCGGGCCTAGAGAATATTTCTACATTACTGGAGAATCTCACCAGCTGTTTGTTGAGCACTGGGTCGTCCCTTCCGAAAGCAAATCGAGAATCACCAACCGACGTCTCCATCGAACCTCCTCACGACGGCATATCGCTTCTTGACACCAAAAGCGACCTGTTACTGTCTTACCTACACAACTTGGTTTTCCTTGTTATTTTCCAGCTGAGAGAGGTAGCCTCTGCGGAGTCGAAGGCAGAGGAGAACAGCGATGTCGATAATGGAAACTTGTCACTGCGCGAAGAAATCGTTAAAAAGCTTACCGAGCTCCGCGTGTATTTGGACCGCGGCGTACGGCCTTTGGAGGGTCGACTGAAGTACCAGGTTGACAAAGTCATCAAGGCTGCAGAGGATGCCGACAGGGCCGAGCGCGGTGCCCAGGCCACGACAAAGAGCAAGGCAAAGAATGCGAAATCTGGTAGCAACAACGAATCCGGCTCTGAAGAGAGCTCCGGCGACAGTGAGAGCGATAGTGAAGGAGAAGACGAAGAGGAGGAGGACATTGATGAGATGGCTTACCGGCCGAATATTTCTGCCTTCTCGAAGGGAATAAAGCCGGAGGCTCAGACAGAAGAGAAGGCAGACAAGAAAATGTCAGGCGACGGTATCTATCGGCCTCCGAGAATCATGCCAACTGCACTTCCCACAACCGAACGCAAAGAGCAGAGGGACCGCCGTCCACGCAGATCAAATGTCATTGACGAGTTTGTCAGTGCTGAAATGTCGGCCGCGCCCATGGCAGAGCCCAGCATTGGTAGCACAATTGTCCAAGGAGGACGACATTCGAAGACCAGGAAGGAAAGAGAGCACGAGGCCGAACGTACTACGTATGAAGAAACCAACTTCGTGCGATTGGCTAAGGAGAGCAAGAAGGAGAGAGCCAAGCGACGCGGTCAGGGCAAGGAGAGCACTTTTGGTGGTGAAGAATGGAAAGGTCTTACCGAGGGTGCAGACCGGATCGCAAAGCTCACGCGTAGGGCCAAAGGAAGCGGTAGCGCGCTGGAGAAGAGTCGGAAGCGAAAACTTAATGACGATGGACCACGCAGTGATGGCGTGGCAGTGGGTCAGATCTTTGAGAAGCGTCGGAAGAAGGTCGAGAGCTGGAAACGGGCTTAGATGTACATACTTTGGCATTATGGATATGGTCCCGGAGTTTTGTTTATATGTGAGGCACCTGGCATTTCACCGATACCATCAAAAGTTGATCGATTATATATTTTGCCGCCTGCGAACTCTAACCAAAGCAATCTCTTAAGACTACCTCAATCTCTTGTCCAGCGCTAATCATTGATCTAATGATCTGTATAAATGATTATGTAGGCTATATTTAGCGATGATAAACACATGCTGAAATGTCACCATGTCCGAATTGCATTTTCACATGCGCCGGAAAGCGAATGACATCATCGCCATTTCGGCCTCAGGAACAGGACCAAGTTAATCAATCAGAAGCCCATTCGCCATTCACTTTATCCTTAGTTGCCTTTCACTTCAAGTCGCAAATATCATACTTCGAAGGAAGAACATAGGAAGATGGAAAACCCAGGTGAGCGCCCAAATCCTACAATAATGGCCAATCTGATCTAATGTGACAATGCAGTGTCAGAGATATCGACTGTTATCAAGCAGCTGATAGAGTCACCACCATCAGTTCAGCAGGAAACAATAGAGAAATACTTCACGCCATCAGCAGCATTTGTACATCCATTCTGCCGGGTTCCAAGTTATGATGGCAGCCGTTGGTCCATCATCAAGATCTTCCAGTGGTACAAGATCATGTCGCCTCGAATAGAGCACCAGATTCATTCCATAGGCAGGTGTTCATAGTTAAGTCACTGATCTTGCGGGTTGCTAACAGTCCCCAGCCTATGATGAAAGCCATCTCACTCTCTATATTACCATGTCGCAGATATTCTCAATATGGTTGGTCCCATTCCACGTCTCTCCAGTCAGACTCACCACGGTCATCAACCTTACCACGGATTCTGGAGTCCAGAAGCCGTCAATGGTGAACGGGGATCATACTCTCTACTACATCGCCAAGCAAGAAGATCTGTACCAGGTATCGGAGTGGATCAAGTTTATGGTTCCCCATGTTGGGCATCTCTTTGTTCTTGCTTTTCAATCATTTGCGACTCTCTTCTGTATGCTTGGTGTTGTCATCTTCTATCCTATCATGTGGCTGGAGGAGAGACGGGTTATTCCTTACAAGATGTTGCGCAAGGGAAACCTTGTGTATAATATTGAGAGAAAGATACCAGAGATTAAGAAAGAATGAGGCGAGACTCTCAGAGGAGGTCGTCAAGTTTAACTGATGTGTTATGTTGGCGTTGTTTGGGTACCACCTTCTTGAGGTCTCTACTCTGTTTCCTCCGCGAGCATCAATATCGTTCAGAAAGTCAGCCTGTCGTCTACATTACTCTCTCACCACCTGATCTGCTTTATGAAGAGCCTGAAGACCTAGGGTTTCCTCTTCCTCACAAGCTTTGTAGATGCCCGGCTTCTCCAGATTCTGTCAACACCTTTCATTCTATACCTCACCTCTGACTATTCAGTGGATTTGAGTTCTCTTGTCAGGTAAGGCGAAATCCTACTGAATTCGAGTCCACACATGTGCTCCAATAGGGCACAGTTTTGCTGGTAGAACGATGACGTCGTTATCCTGTTATTTAGACTACCAAATGCTATAAATCCGGTAAGATGAAGCTTGGAGGAAAGACACGACATGAGCGGAGAGTGATTGGTCGGCGACAATGTGTTCGAGGGTGACCAAGGGTTTTAGTTGGGACAATATGGGCTGCGTTGAGTGTATCTTAAACGAATCTTGGAGCTGACAATCACGACTCATCGGACATGAGACTAGCTAGTCTTCAATCAATATTTGGAAGGTGTTTACGCCCTTGAGGCTCCATGACTCCGCTTCGACCCTTGATTCATCTCGCAATCTTGAGGAGATGAAAAGGGAGACATTGACATAGAAAAGTAAGTGCAATTTTTTATAAGCGCCGTCTACAGGAATATCAAACATATTTTTGGATAAGACAAAGAAAGAGAAGTCATATGTATCGTGATAGAACATCTTCCGGGGCACCGTCCAGTTCAAGACTTATGCTTTGCTGCGTGGTGCATTCAAAACCACACAGTGGTTTTAATGTTGCTTCCTCAACTGTTGTCGGAACGATTCTTCTTGCCTGACTACCTCTAGCGGAAGCGTACGGCCAATGCCAAAGAGCACGAATGGTGCCCACTTCCAGCGAAACGGGTTGACAAGAATTACGAAGATGTACCAGTAGATCAATTCGGCGTAAGTGAAGAAGTCAAAAGCGCCTGTCGGAGCCAGTCGTTTCATCAAGCGCGTAAAGTCGATCCATGTCTTCATCCTACCTTCCGTCGGCCGCGATAGAGGATCAACCAGGAACATCAATAGGAAGCGTGTGTATATACCAATGTGCATGTTTCCCACAGTGCCGATGGCATTGATGTAGGTGCTGTTGTTGGCGCAGATGCTCGTGTACTTTGGCGGGAAGACCTGGAGATACCAGCTGGGTGGGCCGTATGGGTCTTCAAAACAATCGTTTGGCAGGAAGTTCAGCGATGGACGCTTGAAGCCCGTTGCCATGATGATCACATCTCCAGGAACAACCGATTCATGTCCGGGACCACCCTTGGGGACTCCATGTGAGCGATGATTGAACATGACACCGTCCTCTGTGAGAGAGACAATGTCTCCGCGTAGCCAGCGTGCTTTACCCTGGCGGATCTGGTCAAAGAGCTCCGAGTTGGCCATGGGAGTTTCGGTGTAGAGACCGCTTGATGGGGCAATGTCCTGGAGATCGCGATAGAAAAGCTTGTGTAGCAACCACTCCGGAATCCATGACAAAAATGTCTCCTGTCCAAAGATGTTCATGGCTAGCAGCGATTGGACGAATACGTTGCGCGGGATAATCCACTTATCGGACCGCGACAGCACGTCAATTTCACGCGCCTTAGACTTGACGGCAAATTCCAGCGCCTCGATGGCACTGGCGCCGCCGCCAATGATGAGCACCTTCTTGCCCTCCACGTCTTTCCCATCGAGCTCAGAAGAGTGGAAAATCTTGCCTTTGAAGCGGTCTTGATCTGGAAGACGCGGCATCTTTGGATCGCCGCAAACACCAACAGACGCGATCACGCCATCGAAGCGACCATACTCTTCCTCGTTGTCGTTAATGATCCATTTTCCGTCCTTTGTCTGTTTGACAGACGTAACCGGTGTGTCAAAAACGGTACGCTTCTGGAGGCCGTAGCGTTTCCACACGTCAATGATCTGCTCGCGAATTTCCTGCTGAGAAGGATAGGCGGTGGTGTATTTCACCGATGGGTGGAATCGGTACATTATACTATGAACCTGCAAGGATGAGGTAGAGTTGACGCGCTAAATGCGATTGCATTAGCAGACTTCGAATCAACTTCATGGAGAGAACAACGTACGCTCCAG